TTAGATCTAGACCAGTAGGGATTATTTTAGGTTTTTTCTAAGGTAAAATAACAACATTAAAGTAGATTCCCATAGGATACTCGCAGTGGCGTAGGCAGGGGGGGGGGCATAACCCCCCCCCCATAGACCCCTCGGTATATATTTAAAAAGTATGAGGGGGTGCAAATCGAAAGTTTGAGGGGGGAGGTGGAAATCGAAAGTTTGAGGGATGGGGTGCAAATTGAAAGTTTGAGGGGGGTAGGGGTGCAAATCGAAGATTAAGAGGGGGGGGGGTGCAAAAAGTTTGTCCCCGGGTAAAAATTTGACCCCCCCCCCCCTTGAGACGATCTTGGCTACGCCACTGGATACTCGATGTAGTAGGTCTGGTCACTTACCTAATCGAAATGGTTCAGATATCAAATGTTCGGATTAGATTAGTTTGAAGTGTTGCAGTCAGTTGATTGTCCGGTCCAGAGAGTCACACTGCCCTCAGGTCTAGAGCGTGGGTCATCCATAAACGACGTCACGATTTTTTAAACAACGATTTTCATTCCGTTTCCCATCTTGTTGTCACACATCGTCACATATCGTCACACGTCGTCATAAAATGCCAGAACTCCTCTCCTACTAAAATGACGTCACACCCGAGACTACCCCCCACCCCTCCCACCAAATAGCAGTTTTTGCTTTTTAAACTGCGATTTCATCTGTAATGTTTATTTTGCTCGATCAACATTGAGTTTATTGATACCATTTATTGCATTTAAAAAAAAAGTTTTTTTCAGAGAAAAAAATAATGGCTAAATTTCAGTTTTAACCTTTTTTTTTAAATGCAGAAATGTGCGACCCGACTTTCTGATCTCCCCTCTCCCTCGCCACACATCACATGACCCCCCCCCCCTCCTCTCCCCTCCACCTAGGTGGTGACGTTTGTGTACACAACCTCTTGGCACAAGCCTTGTTGACGTAATTTAGGGCTTTTGTTTAGTGTTCTAGTCATTAGAATAGTCATTATAATAGTCATTACAGTAGTCATTACAATAATCATTATAATAGTCATTACAATAGTCATTACAATAGTCATTATAATAGGCATTACAGTAGTCATTACAATAGTCATTACAATAGTCATTACAATAGTCATTACAATAGTCATTACAATAGTCATTACAGTAGTCATTACAGTAGTCATTACAATTGTCATTACAATAGTCATTACAATTGTCATTACAATTGTCATTACAATTGTCATTACAATAGTCATTACAGTAGTCATTACAATAGTCATTACAATAGGCATTACAATACGATTATTTGAAGATAATTGAACAGAAAACTAGAACTATCATACCAACAACTAATCTCTAGTTAGAATTTAGTTTAGTACCCGCTGTTTTTTTAAACCTTGCACGTATCTAATTGTTGCTTTGGGGGGGGGGGGGGGGGATGCTGTAGTAAACCAGATATGTAAGCAGGCATGTAAGCAAGTATGTAAGCAGTTGTGTAAGCCACATTTCAAGCTGCGACTAAACAGTCCCTGGTTAAACGACCTGTTTAAATGAAACCTCATCAAATCGATATAATCAGAATGTTCTTTGGCTGTAGGACAAAAATCAATACAGCGATCTGCTATAAATCCCCATCAAAGCGGTCACGGTCAGCTTGACTTTCAACACTGGCCAATACCTGCGTGCTCCAGCAGCTAAGCTGTCTCTAGAGCCACGGCAAAAGACCCCGCCAATGTCCAGCTGATATTGCATGGTATTATTTGCAGCTTAATTGAAATTAGATATATTGTCGGCAGGCAATATAAAGTTCCCCGTTTTAGAACTAACAATATGATAGATGAAGTAGAGTTTATGTTTCTTGACCTCGACATATGAAGGGACAGTTTGGTCAGAACTATGCCCAATCGCTTTTGTTTCCCTAACATTAGTCAGGTACCCATTAGAGCTGGGTGGATTGATCGAGATCAGAACTTGAGACTTTGGGCAAGCTCTACCACACGGCCACGCTGTGCCATGTGAATGAATGTCGTTGGTCAAATATTTGGGGTCCTTATTTTTGGAAGTCGATTTGTCAAAATCTTCGGTTTTATGTTTCAAGAGTTCCCGCTGTCGTTAACCCTTTGAATGCGTCTTGTCAGGTCCTTTTGCTCGGGGGCCGTTTTGTCGATGCTGTTTTTCAAGGTGTACGGTTTCGCTGTGCTGGCAGCAGTGTTATTATCCCAGTGTATACCGAGTTATGCCCCTTCGCTTATTCAAAAGAGGGCAATAAATTGCATACGGTTCACACGTCTTTTACACTACAGTTTGTGTATTGATTTTTAATTTGTTTACGCAAAACTGCGTGGTTTAGTGGCCTTAGAATGATATTTTAGATCAGCTTTAGTATTGTTTATTTTACCAAACCACTATCAATGCAAAGATGCACGAACATGGATTAATGCCCCCCCCCCCTTATTGCTGGGTTTGGGGTCACGATAGTTAAATTAAACGATTAAAAATATAGGCCTTCATCATGAGCGTTGTATATTGGATTACTTTAATGAGCTTACAGTAGCTAAACTAATAGCCCAACCGCAGAAAAAAATCCCTCAGCAAAGCTGTAGGCTATTTTGTGTGAGACGAGTGGACAGGTCACATGATCAAGGTCAAAAACATACGTTGATCTCAAGATGTCATCAAACTGGTGAAAGTCAGCAACACGGCAGGCTTAAGTTAACCTGTGGGTCTAGCAAAGGTCTGGTCTGGCTAAACCTGTGGGTCTACCAAGGTGTGGTCTGGCTTAAGTTTAACCTGTGGGTCTAGCAAGGTGTGGTCTGGCTTAAGTTAACCTGTGGGTCTACCAAGGTGTGGTCTGGCTTAAGTTAACCTGTGGGTCTACCAAGGTGTGGTCTGGCTTAAGTTAACCTGTGGGTCTAGCAAGGTGTGGTCTGGCTTAAGTTAACCTGTGGGTCTACCAAGGTGTGGTCTGGCTTAAGTTAACCTGTGGGTCTAGCAAGGTGTGGTCTGGCTTAAGTTAACCTGTGGGTCTAGCAAGGTGTGGTCTGGCTTAAGTTAACCTGTGGGTCTAGCAAGGTGTGGACTGGCTTAAGTTTAACCTGTGAGTCTAACAAGTTGTGGTCTGGCTTAAGTTTAACCTGTGGGTCTAGCAAGGTCTGGGCTGGCTTAAGTTAACCTGTGGGTCTAGCAAGGTGTGGTCTGGCTAAACCTGTGGGTCTAGCAAGGTGTGGTCTGGCTTAAGTTTAACCTGTGGGTCTAGCAAGGTGTGGTCTGGCTTAAGTTAACCTGTGGATCTAGCAACTGGCTTAAGTTAACCTGTGGGTCTAGCAAGGTCTGGTCTGGCTTTAGTTTAACCTGTGGTTCTAGCAAGGTGTGGTCTGGCTTAAGTTAACCTGTGGGTCTAGCAAGGTGTGGTCTGGCTAAACCTGTGGTTCTAGCAAGGTGTGGTCTGGCTTAAGTTTAACCTGTGGGTCTAGCAAGGTGTGGTCTGGCTTAAGTTTAACCTGTGGGTCTAGCAAGGTGTGGTCTGGCTTTAGTTTAACCTGTGGTTCTAGCAAGGTGTGGTCTGGCTTAAGTTAACCTGTGGGTCTAGCAAGGTCTGGTCTGGCTTTAGTTTAACCTGTGGTTCTAGCAAGGTGTGGTCTGGCTTAAGTTAACCTGTGGGTCTAGCAAGGTGTGGTCTGGCTAAACCTGTGGTTCTAGCAAGGTGTGGTCTGGCTTAAGTTTAACCTGTGGGTCTAGCAAGGTGTGGTCTGGCTTAAGTTTAACCTGTGGGTCTAGCTAGGTGTGGTCTGGCTTAAGTTAACCTGTGGATCTAACAAGGTGTGGACTGGCTTAAGTTTAACCTGTGGGTCTAGCAAGGTGTGGTCTGGCTTAAGTTTAACCTGTGGGTCTAGCTAGGTGTGGTCTGGCTTAAGTTAACCTGTGGATCTAACAAGGTGTGGTCTGGCTTAAGTTTAACCTGTGGGTCTACCAAGGTGTGGTCTGGCTTAAGTTAACCTGTGGGTCTAGCAAGGTGTGGTCTGGCTTAAGTTAACCTGTGGGTCTAGCTAGGTGTGGTCTGGCTTAAGTTAACCTGTGGATCTAACAAGGTGTGGTCTGGCTTAAGTTTAACCTGTGGGTCTACCAAGGTGTGGACAGGCTTAAGTTAACCTGTGGGTTTAGCTAGGTGTGGACTGGCTTAAGTTTAACCTGTGGATCTAGCAACTGGCTTAAGTTAACCTGAGGTGAAGCAATGTGTGTTGTGTTTATCCACCTATACAACATAGGTCTGTTAACAACCAGTTTAGCTAAAACAATTTTAAATCTGTCAAAATCTAATTATCGCAGCCGTTCACATGATGCAAGAAATGTTTGTTTTCTATCTTGATTCTTAATTAGGTTTCATGTCACCTTCTGTCCACCCCCCCCCCTACAATATTTTTCCTTTAGGGCTAGCGATATCTCGCTAGGAAATACACTAGCTTAATAGAGTTTAGCGTGGGTTTTTTCATTCCACTAGCGTTAAGACTTTTGTAATGGAAAATTGCATTATTGTCCCACTTTAATTCAATGAAACATCCAATTACCAATTTAAATTGGTAGTCTTGAAATGTGTGTTTTCAAAAAAGGTAGATCTAGCTGCTTTTCAAAAAATCAGCTTCTTATCTACTTGATGTTTTCCCCATCTTCTGTTAACATTTGTTATCTAATGTTGCCCCCATCTTCTGCTAACATTTCTTATCAAATGTTGTTCCCCATCTTCTGTTAACATTTGTTATCTAATGTTGCCCCCATCTTCTGCTAACATTTCTTATCGAATGTAGTTCCCCATCTTCTGTTAACATTTCTTAGGCCTACATTAGTCAACACACATACACACACCACAAAAATATGCAATCGTTGCAGTAGGCCTACAATTATTCAGCAAAAACGTATACAAATACAACACATGACCTTTAACTTTCTCTTCATTGGTAGCTCTTACACCTACCAAACATTACCGTATTTGCTCTATTTTTTGATGCAGCAAAAAAAAAAAAAAAACCCTGAATCTTCCACTTTGAAATGCCTCCATTGACGAATATGTGGCCTGTGCTATTTATAGACCTGTGGATGATCTCGATGGTAGCAGGGGCCAACAAAGTGCTATGTAAGTATAAGACATTGTGCTAGGCTACCATTACACAACCCCCAGTATAAGACATTGTGCTAGGCTACCATTACACCCCCCCCCCCCCCAGAATAGGAAATTATCCTAGGCTACCATTACAACCCCCCCCCCCCCAGAATAGGAAATTATCCTAGGCTACCATTACACCACCCAACATAGGACATTGTCCTAGGCTACCAGAACCCCCCCCCCCCACCAATATAGGGCTGGTAAGTAGGTCACAAACCAGTTCTACGGCTCAATAAAAACTGCATGAGCCATAGAACTGGTTGGTCACCTACTTATCAGCCCTATAGGACATTGTGTTAGGGTACCATTACACCCCCCTTCAGTATAGGACATTGTCTTAGGTTACCTTAAAACCCCCAAAGCAATATAGGACATGCCAGATGAGTAGCTTTACCTGCAATGCCTGGGCTACCCTTACAGAACTTGCACCCCCACCTCCTAGCTACGCTACTAAATTAATCAGAAATGTTCGACCCCCAGCCCACGCACTATCTAGGATAAATTAATACCGTTGGTAGGCTAATAGGGCTGGTAAGTAGGTCACCAACCAGCTCTACTGCTCAATAAAACCTGCATGAACCATAGGGGTCATCCATAAATGACGTCACACTTTTTAAAAATGATTTTTACCTCCCCTCCTCCCCATCTCCCCTCCGTCACACCTCGTCACAAAAAGCCAGACCCCCCCCTAAAATGACGTCACACCTCAGCCTACAACCCCCCTCAACATTGCAGTTGAATTTTTTTTTTAAAACATCGATATTTTTCCAAACTCTTGTCTGAAATTTGTCAAAATAGAGTATTGTAAACAATTCCTATTACAATTTATTAAAACAGTTTTCTAAAACGCGAAATAACGTCTAAAATTCGTTTACTAACATTTGTTTTTTATAATGAAAAAAGTGTTACGTCGCACCATCTGAACCCCCCCCCTCCCCCTCATCACACATCGTCACAAAATTACCGACCCCCCTCCCCCCTCTGAGTGTGACGTCATTTATGGACGACCCCATAGAACTGGTTGGTGACCTACTTACCAGCCCTATTGTTGTGATTGCTACCATATTGGTTGACATACTGACCTATTTATCCGTAGTGGACCTGGCAGGGCCCGGATGTGGACAAACTGTTGACCTCAAGGACATGAATGACCTGGCCATCGTGTCCGGGAAGGCTGGGGTTAACGCCCCTTCCAAGTGTGAGATCACCCTCAGAACAGACCCAGGGGGGAGAATCCAGTTTCTCATTGACGTCATCAAGTTCTCTGGCTGCTCTGCTGAGATTTACATTTCTGATACAGCTCCATTGGTAAGTGGTCAGTTGCTGGTTAGTGCTGGATCTGAGAGCTAGGGCTAGACCAGTGGGCAGTTAGGGCTAGACCAGTGGGCAGTTAGGGCTAGACCAGTGGGCAGTTAGGGCTAGACCAGTGGGCAGTTAGGGCTAGACCAGTGGACAGTTAGGGCTAGACCAGTGGTCAGTTAGGGCTAGACCAGTGATCAGTTAGGGCTAGACCAGTGGGCAGTTAAGGCTAGACCAGTGGGCAGTTAGGGCTAGACCAGTGGACAGGGCTAGACCAGTGGTCAGTTAGGGCTAGACCAGTGGTCAGTTAGGGCTAGACCAGTGGTCAGTTAGGGCTAGACCAGTGGGCAGTTAGGGTTAGACTTGTGGTCAGTTAGGACTAGACCAGTGATCAGTTAGGGTTAGACCAGTGGTCAGTTAGGGCTAGACCAGTGGTCAGTTATTTTTAGGGCTAGACAAGTGGTCAGTTAGGGCTAGACCAGTGGTCAGTTAGGGCTAGACCAGTGGTCAGTTAGGGCTAGACAAGTGGTCAGTTAGGGCTAGACAAGTGGTCAGTTAGGGCTAGACCAGTGGACAGTTAGGGCTAGACCAGTGGGCAGTTAGGGCTAGACCAGTGGACAGGGCTAGACCAGTGGTCAGTTAGGGCTAGACCAGTGGTCAGTTAGGGCTAGACCAGTGGTCAGTTAGGGCTAGACCAGTGGGCAGTTAGGGTTAGACTTGTGGTCAGTTAGGACTAGACCAGTGATCAGTTAGGGTTAGACCAGTGGTCAGTTAGGGCTAGACCAGTGGTCAGTTATTTTTAGGGCTAGACAAGTGGTCAGTTAGGGCTAGACCAGTGGTCAGTTAGGGCTAGACCAGTGGTCAGTTAGGGCTAGACAAGTGGTCAGTTAGGGCTAGACAAGTGGTCAGTTAGGGCTAGACCAGTGGGCAGTTAGGGCTAGACCAATGGTCAGTTAGGGCTAGACCAGTGGGGTGTTAGGGCTACACCAATGGGCATTTAGGGCTAGACCAGTGATCAGTTAGGGCTAGACCAGTGGTCAGTTAGGGCTAGACCAGTGGGCAGTTAGGACTGGACTAGACAAGTGGGCAGTTTGGACTGGACTAGACTAGTGGTCAGTTAGGGCTAGACCATTGGGCAGTTAGGGCTAGACCAGTGGTCAGTTAGGGCTAGACCAGTGGTCAGTTAGGGCTAGACCAGTGGTCAGTTAGGGCTAGACCAGTGGGCAGTTAGGGCTAGACCAGTGGGCAGTTAGGGCTAGACCAGTGGTCAGTTAGGGCTAGACCAGTGATCAGTTAGGGCTAGACCAGTGGGCAGTTAGGGCTAGACCATTGGTCAGTTAGGGCTAGACCAGTGGTCAGTTAGGGCTAGACCAGTGGTCAGTTAGGGCTAGACCAGTGGGCAGTTAGGGCTAGACCAGTGGGCAGTTAGGGCTAGACCAGTGGTCAGTTAGGGCTAGACCAGTGATCAGTTAGGGCTAGACCAGTGGGCAGTTATGGCTAGACCATTGGTCAGTTAGGGTTAGACCAGTGGGCAGTTATTTTTAGGGCTAGACCATTGGTCAGTTAGGGCTAGACCAGTGGGCAGTTATTTTTAGGGCTAGACCATTGTTCAGTTAGGGCTAGACCAGTGATCAGTTAGGGCTAGACCAGTGGGCAGTTAGGGCTAGACCATTGGTCAGTTAGGGTTAGACCAGTGGGCAGTTATTTTTAGGGCTAGACCATTGGTCAGTTAGGGCTAGACCAGTGGGCAGTTATTTTTAGGGCTAGACCATTGTTCAGTTAGGGCTAGACCAGTGGGCAGTTAGGGCTAGATCAGTGGGCAGTTAGGGCTAGACCAGTGGTCAGTTAGGGCTAGACCAGTGATCAGTTAGGGCTAGACCAGTGGGCAGTTAGGGCTAGACCAGTGGGCAGTTAGGGCTAGACCAGTGGTCAGTTAGGGCTAGACCAGTGGTCAGTTAGGGCTAGACCAGTGGTCAGTTAGGGCTAGACCAGTGATCAATTAGGGCTAGACCAATGCGCAGTTAGGGCTAGACCAGTGATCAGTTAGGGCTAGACCAGTGGGCAGTTAGGGCTAGACCAGTGGTCAGTTAGGGCTAGACCAGTGGGCAGTTAGGGCTAGACCAGTGGTCAGTTAGGGCTAGACCAGTGGTCAGTTAGGGCTAGACCAGTGGGCAGTTAGGCTAGACCAGTGAGGCTGCTACTCTTAAAATATAAATCTGCTTTTATCTTCCTGAAGAAAATATAAGTTTTGATCCACACACTGATTTGCCAAGTCAACATTTTATTATAGACCTACTCAGCAGAATAACATTTCACAGAGAACCATTTCCCTAAATCTGATTTTAAACTAAACCCTTTCTCTCTACTGTTAAACTAAACCAACTGAATGTTAAACCCACCCATTCATTGACTGTTAATCTATTTTTATCCCAGACCAGCATCCAATGCTCAAATAACAACAAAGCCCCTTTGTATAAAAAGTCAAACAGCAATTTCCTGAAAATTGAAGTGAGATCTAAAGACACCCGTCCACAGTTGTTTGACATCAGTATCAAGTTGATGAATGATTTAGGTACAGAGTTTTATTCACAGATTTTTAATAGATTCATCCTAGCACTTCATTTGTTTTACTAAGTTAAGTATAAGATGAAGTGTCAGGATTAAGTCAGTAGTTCACTAGTAAAGGAGAGGCTTGATATTTGCAAGTCTTGAGTGCTGAAGGGGGTGGGTGCTGAGGGATTGGTGTAGAAGGATGGGGGGTGGGGATTGGGTTTTGAAGGGTGGGGGTTGAGGGGTTGTTGATGAGGCATGCCTTCTCAACCCATCTTACGTTCCTCCTTAGACCTAGTAATACACTGGGCAGATGAAGTAGAGTTCATGTTTCTTGGCCTCGGTATGTCAGGGGGTGGTGTGCTTGTCAGCACTATACTCACCCACCTTTACTTTCCCCAATGTTAGTCAGGTACCCATCAGAGCTGAGGAACTCAGTGACGTCCAAAGTCACATGTCTGAACTGAGATTCGAACTCGAGACCTTCAGGCTAGCAGCCTAACACTCTACCATTCGACCATGCCTTCCCTTACCCCTCTATAGACCTATGACAAACTTCCTTAAGATTACAATTAAAAAACATTTGACCTGTATGAACTATTGATGGGAAAAATTTCGTTGCCACTACACTTATTGCAATGATTACAGAGAATCTTATTTAATGAGAAATGACTAATTATTTTACATTTTAGGGCCAAGCTTATTGGACTCCAAAAATATAGCAAATACGCTGGAGGAAAGGGTAGCTTTGGGTATGTTCACTGGTCTATGTTGAAATTAGTCTTAATTGTATTCACATTTTATAATTCTCCAATCAAAACATAAATTAACATACAAATAAATCTGTAATGAATCTAATTGTATTCTTATTTTTCTAGTTAAATAATAAATTACTTACTGGTAATGCCAGCATACAAAGGAAATAAATCTTAAATAGGTTTTGTGTTTTATTTAATGAATGGATGAAAACAAAAGCTTTCAACAGACAAAGAGGTCTTATATTTGATAAACAAATGGACCATAGTTTTTTGTGATGTAATGTGCATGGTAAAAGTGGGGAGGGTTGGTGGACCTCTTTCATCAGATCCAGCATTAGTTCTCTGTTGAAACAAAATATTGAAAAGAACTTTTAATCCTGTTATTTCAAGTTCATTTTGTGCTCTATAGGGGATCAAAACAAATAAAAATTACAAAGAATTTTCCTACTGAAGAACTTCTTACTGTAGTAGTCTACACTATGCAGAACTTTTCTACTGTAGTAGTCTACTTTATGCAGAACTTTTCTACTGTAGTAGTCTACACTAAGCAGAACTTTCCTTCTGTAGTTTGCTCTACTCAGAATTTTCCATATGGCTACAGTGTAAAACATTAGCAAACTCACCTGAATAGGCTTTACAATTACAAAAATATATTTTGAACTTTTATTTATTTACTCATATATGGAAGAAAAAAATACTTGAATCGGATTTAAAAATGGCTTCATAAAACTATAGCAAAAATAATTATTGTTCTCTGTTGGTATATGTTGAAGAAAAATAATTTTCAATTGATAGAACAAGTTAACCAATATAAATGAAATTTTTTTATTGAAAATTTTCAAAAGTTATTAAAATCAAGTGAATTCTATTACAGCATGAAAAGAAATTTTCCAACATTCACAACATTGTTTTGATATACTTTTTTTCATCTATTTCAGTAGATCTTCCTAGTAATGTTTTTTACAATATATTCTAGTGGACCTCAATGGGGCAGGGTGTGACGCATCTGAAGGCTTCTACCTGAAGGACCTGAACGATCTGGCTGACGTCTTTGCTTACATACACACCAGCGCTATGGCCACCAGAGACCACTGCGATGTCACTCTGAGAGCAGACGCGGGTCACGTTCTTCAGTACAAGATAGAACAGATCCAGTTCTACGAGTGTGGCATTGATATCATCATCTATGACAACCCAACGCAGGACGTCGATCCTCTTGTAAGGAGTTTGTCTATTTTTTGGGTGGTGACAGGACAAATGATCTCGGACAAAATATCCCAGACAAAATATGTCAGACAAACCAGACAAAATATCTCGGGATATTTTTTCTGAGATCATTTGTCCTTGAACTGGATATTAATTTTGGGACTATTTATATTTGGTAAAGCATTGTATCGGTCATCTGTCAATGAAACTCTGGAACCATCACCTCAGGGTGAGACATGGGAGACATGTTACTTTAAGGTGGGAAGGGGGGGGGGGGCAGATAGTTAGAATACCTCAGCATTGCAATGTCTCAAAAGTTTACATGGCCTATCTATATCTTAATATATGACACTATTGATCATTTTTAGTAAAAAATTTTTTTCTTCATAATTATCCTTAGCACATAAAAGTTTAATGCTACGTCAGATTAATTAAACCCTTTGTTTATTGGAAATATTCACAGGAGTTTGAATTTCACCATCCTTATTTGCATGAAGCCGGGCAATGTAACACATCTTTCCCTCCCCTTCTGTGTGTAGCTAACATTCACAGTGTAGGCCTATAACTAGACAAACCAAAATGTGACGCAGAAACATAAGAATCAAATTCAACTATGCTCCCTCCTCCCCCCATCCCTTTTTCCCGCTGTAAGATTACGAAGCTCTATTGTTTATATTCCTTACATCATTACCACACTTACATCTTATAACACCACTCCCACTAAAGTTCATTGCTTACCTGTTATAAATTTAGTAATAAATCATTTCTGCTAGGTCAAATGTGTTTATTCTCATGTCACCGCTCAGCATAAAAGTTTCTGGTGTGTTTTAAAGATGTTTTTAAATGATCTTTTCTGTCCCATACATTTTTGCAGCACTTAATTAAATGATGGTTTTTTCTGTCCCATACATTTTTGCAGCACGTAATTAAATGATGGTTTTTTCTGTCCCATACATTTTTGCAGCACGTAATTAAATGATGTTTTTTCTGTCCCATACATTTTTGCAGCACGTAATTAAATGATGTTTTTTTCTGTCCCATGCATGTTTGCAGCACGTAATTAAATGATGTTTTTTCTGTCCCATACATTTTTGCAGCACGTAATTAAGTGTCAGGACAATGCCAAGGTCATCTGTGGCAAGTCAAGGACAAACTACATCAGAATACGGGTGCGCAAGGCTACGCCACAGACCAAGAATTACCAGTTCCGTATGAAGCTGCGTAGTGATTTAGGTGAGTTTTGATTCATGAGTTCTGTATTAGGTGAGTGTTGATTGATTAATAATTTATTAGGTGAGTGTTGATTCATTAATTCTGTATTGGGTGAACCTTAATCAATTAGTTCTGTATTAGGTGAGTGTTGATTCATTAATTCTGTATTAGGTGAACTTAAATCAATTAGTTCTGTATTAGGTGAGTTTTGATTCATTAGTTTTGTATAATGTGAGTGTAGATTCATAAGTTCTGTATTAGGTGAGTGTTGATTTATAAATTCTATATTAGGTAAAGGTTGATTCATAAGTTCTGTATTAGGTGAGTGTTGATTCATTAATTCTGTATTGGGTGAACTTTAATCAATTAGCTCTGTATTCGGTGAGTGTTGATTCCTGAGTTCTATATTAGGTAAGTGTTGATTCATTAGATCTGTATTAGGTGAGTGTTGATTCATTAATTCTGTATTTGGTGAACTTTAATCAATTAGTTCTGTATTAGGTGAGTTTTGATTCATTATTTTTGTATTATGTGAGTGTAGATTAATTAATTCTGTATTAGGTGAGTGTTGATTCATAAGTTCTGTATAAGGTGAACTTTAATTAATTAGTGCTGTATTAGGTGAGTGTTGATGCAATAGTTTTGTATTAGATGAACTTTAATTAATTAGTTCTGACTTAGGAGGGTACTACTGAGTGACAATGGTGATCATTCTTTTCTATTTTCAATAATACCTTTAACTTCTTTAACTTTGTATTGGTTTAATCATCTACAATTTTACTATGAAAAAATTTATAACAAATATTTTAATCACAAGGAATATTTGTAACTACTCTTGAAACAGCATTTGTCTACCCTTAATAGGTGCACCATTTTATTGTGATGAGCCAAGCAAAAATGGATCAGCAGCACAGGTGTCTGTGTACACAGTTGTGATTGCTGGGATAATTTCCTACCTCACAATGGCTGACACACATCTCACATAAGCTGATGGAAATACACACTAAGGCAAGGTGTACGTGTATGCCCAGATGTCAGCTGACCCTAAGGGGTTTGTATGTGTACGTATAGTGTACACGTACACCCAGATGTGAGTGGGTAGTGTGAACCACAGGCAACATCCAGACATAGGTCTATTAAATCCTGGTCGTGGACTTGTATCCTTACACCACATATAAACTTGCGATGTATACTATACTTGTCTAGAAAAAATAAATGACTAGGTCCCCTATACATGTTCTGATAAAATTAATTTGACAAAGTTTTTTCTTTCCTAGACTTGTATAGTCCTACATGTGGGTAGTGTAAACATGCTGTTAGGAAATAATAATTTCAAGAGAATATCTAGTGTCAAAACAAACTTTTTTATACTTCGCACAATGAGTTTGGCCTACTTTTAATTGAAACTGCCGCTATTTACACATTTATTGGGGCATAATGTAAATATAGTCACAATCCTCTTGTGTAGTTGGTGGCAAGTTTATGTAGATGTATATTTTTCTAATGAATGACTTATGTAAGATAGAATAGAAATGTAATTTTTGTGTGAATGTGCTTGTGTGAGAGGATGTAATTTTTGTGTTAGTGTGCACATGTGTGAGAGAATGTAAGTTTTGTGTGAATGTGCTCATGAGTCGATATAGATGGCTAGCAATAAATTTGACAAGAAAATAAGTAAGCGGAGCAAGTTTTTTGTTTTCAAATTTATTGAATTTTTATTTAAAATATTGCTTTAAGAATGTACCTTAGGATTAAAAGGATATTTTGCAATGAATATACAGCACTTATTATGATAAATTTTAAGCAGCCTTATAAAAAAAACGCCAGTGTGATTAGTGTATATATATGGCACTTTTATAAGGTTAGTTACAATTCCAGACAGGTCCAATTCAAGTAAATCATGATTTAAAAACTTTCTTGTAAAAACAGTAATAACCAATACAGGTACTCGTGGATCAAATGAAAGCACATGCTTCATTAGTTATAAATCATGTTTTGCTGGGTAATAGAACAATATTGCTAAATGTTTTTATTTAGAATAATAAAATATATAAGAAATGCACATTTGTGTCAATTGTATACCTTTTAAAATGGAATAAAGTTTAGAACATGTTACAACACAGCAGAAAAAATATTTAATTAAACTCAACTTGTTTTTTTAGACTGCGAATATACTTTAATCCATTTTATCATGTTTTTTTTATACTGCAAGTAGTGCAAGCATAGTAATTGTAATAAATTTTCAAAAAATATATTTAAGTACGTTACAATAAAATCTTAAAAGCTGATTAATGCTGAACATATTTAGATGCAATGTCACTATTTAGGATTTATCTATACCGGCTATAATGTGGTTTATTTTTGTACTTAAGTTACCATTGTCTTTCACAAACATTTTTTATACTTGTTTTTCCTTTATTAAACTTTATTATTTACTGCATAAATATTTGTGTCTGTTAAAACATAGAATAAAATGTATCGAAAATAAAAATCTCACCTTAAGTAAATGTGGAGAAAGGGCTTAAAATTTAGATAGCATGTATTTTGTACTTAAAAAAAAATAAAAGATAAAAAGCACTACTTTTCATTGATTACATTTGTTTATTTGGACGTTATCATGTACTAACACTGAATGACAATATGGTGGACACATTGCCTTACAAATTTTAATTAGTTCCAAGAATTATAGAAGCATGGATATACTTGGGTGTTGGCATATAAAGCAATAACTAACATTATACATTAACAGGTTGGGACCAATCTCAAGGTTGTTTCAATTATTCAGTGGATACCTACCTCTAAAAATGTACTCATGCCTTCTCCCCATTCCCCAGTTTCTTTCTTTCTTGGATACTAATTTACCTGGGTCCAGATTTAGCATTTCAACCGATTTGTCTAATATACTAAAAAGTCTGGAAAATAAATAATTTGCTAAAATGAAATTTCAAAAATGATGTTTTAATTACTGAACCTTTTACCATGTGACGTAAGTCCCACTAGACACTACGGACAACTCCAAAAAAAAAATACGATTATTAGAATTATTTGGATACACAACTTTCAGGAGTAAAACATTAAGTAATTTAGTCACGGCACTCACACATACAATTTGGCAATTAGTGCACTGCACACATAAATTATGGCAATTAGCATGCTGCACATACAAATTTACATAAATTAGGAGAACACAAAGCAATTATTTTCATAAATTTCGTTTAGAAATTTAACATTTCTCTAATTTAAAAGTTTCTTATAAAAAAAATGGCACCGGGCATTTGATGATGTAAAAAAATTATAAATCTATGTAAAATTGTGTAAATATATGTAACATAACAGACCTTAAAAATATACACTTGTAAACAAAAAAACTGTTACTGACTTTTGACCAATGACAAAATGAACCTCATCTTAGCTATTTCTCCTTAGTACAGGTTAAATAGCTCAGATTCTGGTGGTCAAAACTGACTGATGAAAGCTCAGGTCAAATCAAAAATATCATTCAAAATGTGGGACGCTATCAAATAATCTCATACATATTACATGTAATTAAAAAAACATAAGACAAAACACCATCTGTCCATACTATTTAGGGACCAAACTACTTGCTTTAAAAAAAATATTTTGTTGACAAAATCGCTGTAACTGAACTTAAAAGATTTACTGTAACTAATCCTCACACATTGTGAACTTACTCCATTGAATCTACTTCACCTTTTTATTGTCTGTTCAATTTTATATATAAACAATGTTACTTGGTATTCAGGTGACTAGAATTTTTTAAAATACAAACTATAACTTTTTAAGCTCTAATCGGATTCTAGAAAAGTATACATTTATACTGTTGTGCATAGACTGGATGAGCGCAGAAAATGTATACTATTGTGCATACTGCATAGACTGGGGAACATAATACTTTTATGCATAGATTGCACAGAATAATTTAACAAAACAGTGGAAAAATCTATGAAATCTCATCAAATCTTAGATGCCCAGGTGAACACATGCCCAGGTGTACCACATGCCCAGGTGTACCACATGCCCAGGTGTACTACATGCCCAGGTGTACCACATGCCCAGGTGAACCACATGCCCAGGTGAACCACATGCCCAGGTGAACCACATGCCCAGGTGAACCACATGCCCAGGTGTACCACATGCCCAGGTGAACCACATGCCCAGGTGTACCACATGCCCAGGTGTACCACATGCCGAGGTGTACCACATGCCCAGGTGTACTACATGCCCAGGTGAACCACATGCCCAGGTGAACCACATGCCCAGGTGTACCACATGCCCAGGTGTACTACATGCCCAGGTGAACCACATGCCCAGCAAACAGTAACATTAATGAGATGGAAATGTTAGGTTCAACTCCAAACTGTTAGAACTAGTCAAACAGACCTCTAGTTGTTAAGTATTAGTCCAGCTAATCTCCAAGTAATCTAAACTTCTAAAAAAAAACTAATATAGATAATCCCCCCCCCCTCCTTCCAGACACACACAACAAGAAACTGGCATTACTGAAAACTAGATGGACTCACCAAACTAATATTCAAACTGACATTACTGAAAACTAAATGGACTCACCAAACTAATATTCAAACTGGCATCACTGAAAGCCAAATGGACTCACCAAACTAATATTCAAACTGGCATTACTGAAAACTAGATGGACTCACCAAACTAATATTCAAACTGGCATTACTGGAAACTAGATGGACTCACCAAACTAATATTCAAACTGGCATCACTGAAAGCCAAATGGATTCACCAAACTAATATTGTTGACTGATATACAGTGTTTCTTCCCAGAAGAGTCTACCCCCCCCCCCCCCCGAACGAAATGGAATTCATATAGAAAATATATACTTCTAACAGTGAGTCGTCATCCCCCCCCCTGGAAATTTTATTTCTCCCCCCCCCCCCCTCCGGAGAAAAAAGTCTGGAAGAAACAATGCTGATAATGATATAAGAAACTGTTAATGGTCATGAACTTCAATGTATTTTAATCCCTTAAATGAGAACATTGATCAAATTATGCATTAATACTGATTTTATTTTTCTATTGTAGTATCCTACCACAAACTATGACGTTGTCGAAATAGTCCGACATGTAACTACATGTATAAATTACACGTACAATAATGATTGTCACACAACACGCTGAATAGTTTTATGAAAGTCAAGGTACCGCAGGACTAGAAAACCAGATGCATTAATTACCCTCCAATTCATAAAACTTAAACATTTTCAAAAATTACCTCAACAAAAACATTTCTATTTTGCTGCCTAAATTTCTATACCTGGACTTTGGGAAGTCCAAAATTACTGATTAAAAAACCCTAACCATTTCATTTCTATAATGCACTATGTATGAACAGAGAGGGGTATTAAATAAATAGAAAGAAACCTACAGTTGAGCAAAGTTGTATACATAAACAATTATTAAAAAAATGACAAATTGTAAACTTTCAAATAAAAGATCAAAGAAAAGATAACCAGTGCAGTTGCCTGAGGTTGACGAGCAGCATTCTCATTGTTGGAGTGATCTTTTTTATGTGACAAATTCTCCTTCTGTGTAGTAGTACTCACTTCCCTGTGTGATCCTGACTGGCTCTCCGCACATGTTCCATTTCCATCAACAAAATCACTGTCTTGTTTACAGCATATTGTGTCTCTATAGCCGTCACAGGTTTGTTTCTCAAAATTCAAGTAAAGATTTACACTCACCCCACATAGGCTGCAGGGGACACAATCAAAGTAACACTTTCCATCATAACGTTTCTTACGGTACATCCTCCCTTTGCAGTACACCTCTGAATCCCTTGTAGCATTGCAAGGATTCTTGAGATATTCATTCTAAATAGAAAAAATTTAATCAATAAATTATTACTACTTTGTGAGATTTAAAAATCATAGAATAAATATAGAATATGATAATATAAATATGATAATTTATTTATCCTCTGCATTTAGTTTAGACAAGCCAAGCTCACTTAGTATGCTGCAATTGTGTTCTAAGTTATAACAAGATGCCTCAATGTTGCTCTAATTATCATACAATGCCTTTAACAAATAGGCCTACTTTTATTACTGGTTTAGTTTAGGTAGTATCATTGTTTTTTTTTAATTAGGTAGTATCATTGTTTTTTTAATTAGGTAGTACATTTGTTTTTTTAATAAGGTAGTATCATTGTTTTTTAATAAGGTAGTATCATTGTTTTTTAATAAGGTAGTATCATTGTTTTTGTTTAGACAGTATTATACTTGTTTAGGTTGTATTATACTTTTTGTTTAGGTCATATACTTGTTTAGGTCATATCATACTTTTTCTTTAGGTCGTATCATACTTGTTGTTTAGGTCATACTTGTAACTTGTTTAGGTCGTATCATACTTGTAATTTGTTAAGGTAGTATAATACTTGTTAAGGTCAAGGGCTTTTATGTTCCACTCCTCAACAGGAGGGAAGGTGGTGGTAGAGCAGTGTGGTTTTGGTCAGGATGCCCTAGTTTATGGACAATCCTTGACCCACTTTACAGCAGGATACTTTACGCCCAATTCTAAAACATAAATCATAGTATTTCATTCAGAAAACAGGTCAACTCTACTTCATTTATTCTATGAACCAACAAAGCTTGAATGGGAACCATGCACAATACATCTAGCAGTACTCACAACAGGATCAATAGCGTAGCATTGTTCGCAGTGAGAATGTTTTCCTTCCCGAGCCATCGCTTCTGTCATAAAGTGTCCAGGTTTGCAAGGCTCACACACGCCAGTGGTCCCGTGCCAAAATTGTCCAGCAGGACAAAAAATTTTATCTCCCGAAGATACGGCGTACAGTATACGTGGCTTAGGTAAGGGTCTTGAGGGCACGTCTGGATCACAATCTCCTTCTTCTGAACTCTGGGCTCCAGCTAATGATGCGCAGCACACAACTGACAAAACTATAGCACTGAAAATTTGATGCATTGTTGACTTTCAATTCTTTGAGACAGCACCAGTTACCTGCAAAGAGATAAGACCATCCCATGTTACAAGATTAGACTTAACGAGCCGACCCGCGGTGTATCATACGCCGGTATTTAGTTGTTGTTTTTTCTACTTTTCAGTAATTTATAATTTGTGAATTCGACAGTACCAATGCTGCCACTGAAAATATTTGCTTAAAAACACTAAACCCCGTTTCCCCCTCCCCACGTGAAAGCAGCCTCCTCTTACTTACCTCCTCTAAGTTTAAAATCGTTTCAAACTAATTTTCTGCCCCTAATAGCCGTCACCAAACCCGTCTCTATGATTGTAAAATTTAAACAGTGTGAACCACAGCTCACCAGACCATGTGAGGGGGTGGGGGATGTGGGGGGGGGGGAGTTTGGTAGCGATAGAGAGGAAGAGAGGGGACTGTAAGGCGCGCTTTGCAGCTTATTTTCTAACGGCTCCCAGAAGAGAATTATATATATAGATTATGACTTCCATACAATACATTTTATTTACATATTTTTCTAACCAAATGAAAATGACGTATCAAACTAGTTGGACTCTCAGAGAAGATTTGAACTATTTTTGCAGTCTTATTAGTAAATTATTAGCAGTAATTATAAAAGCTTCATAAGTTACATTTTCTATCGATTTAAAAAAAATTTAATGCACTTTTAAAAAAAGTTTTTATTAATGTCAAGTAGCCTACAGGGGTCGGCATGGTCGAGTCGGTAAAGCTCAAGGCTGCTAAACTGAAAAGCCTCGAGTTCGAGCGCTCTGGCAGATGAGGCTCATTAGCTGGGGACAGCTACTCTTCTAGGAGAGAACTCCAAAATCAAACAACTGCTGCTTAGTTGTCTGATGTTTGTGAATCGCGACATACCATAACTAGCATAAAAATGTGTCCAAATTTCAAAACAACTATATACTATATTTATATAGATCTACCTCAAATTCACTTTTTTTTTTATTCAGTGTCAGTTGAGTATAGTATTAGTATAATGAATAATTGTGAATGAGAGAAATTCAGCACAAATAATTTTTTACTAATTTTACACGCTTGGAACATAATTCTGGCGTCCGTTAAGGGCTTAAAAATGTGAAATAATTACTCTCGCTAGTGTTGGCCAATTTTACATACCTACAGCGATAGAATAGATTACCCATTTTGTAACTTTCAAAACATAGATCTAAATCTATCTAAATCCTCCTAAAAATGTGAAATAATTTTAAAAATTTAACTCTTTAAGATCGTAACGACACTCCCAGCTGTCGGTATGCCGGCCTGCCATACTGTAACGACGCTCCCAGAGTTCGATAAAATTTTCTCTATTTAATTCATTGTTTTTCGAAATCCAAGTTTTTAATTGTATGTCTAGGTCATGATAACGCCAGAGCAGCCATTTTTCGTTGTATTTACTTCTTGTAGTTTTCTCGTTAGGTTGAATTTGTATTTTATAGAATTTTTTTTGTAAACAACTCAAAAAATAGCATTTGTTAACACTGCGGAATGCCATTCAGCGACCGCGTCTATATATTTACACCGCCGCTTTATAAAATTAACCAAAACTAGAAAAATGAATGTACTTTCGCTTTCTATGACAAAGAACTAAGAACTCATGAAAAGAATTCTTATTATTAATTTTCCCGACAGAGGCGTAATTTTCGGACAAAAAAATCAACTCTTTATTTTTTCTTCTTTAAAACTAAGTAATTATCTTTCTTCAATAAATAAATAATTCCTTAAAATTTATATCAGTGTGTAGGGTATTCAATTAGGATTAATTTTTATCAATAATGTGTGGGGTTCAAATTAACGGGTAAAAAGTTATGGGTCATTTAGCCGCAGGGGTACTGAAAAAAAATAAGTGAAAAAAAATAATTCCGGTCAAACGTGAAAATAAGTACGGCTTACGGGCTTAAAGAGTTAAACTTAAAGTTCAACTTAAAGAGTCACCGTTTTGTACATTACTTAATTAATACATTACTTACAATACTTATTGTGGTAAAACTCCATTTTAGCGTATTTTATTCTACGCTTGTCGTTCACCTCCAGTTGAGCGTATTTTATTATAATAACCGAAACACACGAAAACATTAGGAAAACACGATTGATTTATTTCATTTGTATTGTATTTTTGTTTTCACAAATGAATAAAATGAATGTTTTAAAAACACGACTTATTTATTTGTATTGTATTTTTGTTTTAACAAATGAATAAAAACAACAAAGAGACTGACTGAAAAGCTTTGTTTGTTGGTTACAAAAATAGAGATGCACACTTTGTACAAATAAGTGTTCCAATGTCAACTAAACTGAATAAAAGTATTAAAATGCATAATAATGCTGCCGAAAGTGGGGCGGGGGTAGGGGTGGTGGAATTTGGTGAGGGAAAGTGTGACAACTCACGTTGTCATTTAACAAAAAATAATGTTAGGGGTCGTCCATAAATGACGTCACACTCGTAGGGGGGAGGAGGGGTCCGTAATTTTGTGACGGTGTGTGATGAGGGGAGGGGGGGGAGGGTTCAGATGGTGCTAAGTCATTCTAGGGGGTGGGGGTCTTGCTTTTTGTGACGGAGGGGAGTGGGGAGATAAAAATTGTCCAAAAAGCGTGACGTCATTATTGGATGACCCCTTAAACTTAAACACTGATTTCATACGTCACACCTCAGCCTACAACCCCCCCTCCCTCAAAATTTATGTTGAATTTTTCTTAAAACATCGATATTTTTTTCCAAAATCTTGTCAGAACTCTGTCAACATAGAGTATTTTGATCAATTCGTATTACAATTTATTAAAACCGTTTTCTAAAACGCGAAATAACGGCTAAAACTCGTTTTTCTAGTAATGCTTTTTTATAATTAAAAAAAGTGACGTCACACAATCTGAAACCCCACCCCCTCCCCCTCATCACACACCATCACAAAATTGCGGACCCCCTCTCCCTTACGAGTGTGACGTCATTTATGGACGACCCCACATCAATTTTTTTTAAAAGTCAGAAATTTACTCATACAAAAAATCATACTTGATACATATATCAAAATATTGGGAAGGATGGTAGATTTACTATGAATTTAAATAACATACAAACTATAGATCTAGTAAAAATATTTTTTTCAGTTTTGGCAAAATTTTCAAATTAAAAAACACAGAGTTTGTACATTTATTGCATAAATACAAAAACATAATACAGAATAATTAACAGTGTATCAGTTTCACCATGAGACAAATGCCTTTAAAAAAATACAATACAAATAAACAAGTCATGTTTTTTAAATATTCATTTTATTCATTTGTTAAAACAAAAATACAATACAAATAAATAAATCGTGTTTTCCTAATGTTTCGGTGTGTTTTGGTTATTATAATAAAATACGCTCAACTGGAGCCTGTCTGGAGGTAAACGACAAGCGAAGAATAAAATAATAAAAATATGGCTAAAATGGAGTTTTACTCTTGCCTTATTGTTATTACATTACTTGGGTAAAACTCCATTTCAGCGTATTTTATTCTCCGTTGCTTGTTCACCTCCAGTTGAGCGTATTTTATTATAACAACCGAAACACGCCAAAACATTAGGAAAACACGATTTATTTTTTTGTATTGTATTTTTGTTTTAGCAAATGAATAAAAATGAATATTTAAAAAACACGACTTGTTTATTTGTATTGTACTTTTTAAAAAAGGCATTTGTCTCATGGTGAAACTGATACACTGTTAATCATTCTGTTTTATATTTTTGTATTTATGCAATAAATGTACCAACTCTGTGTTTTTTAATTTGACAGTTTTGCTAAAACTGAAAAAAATATTTTACTATAGAGTTGTATGTTATTTAAATTCATAGTAAATCTACCATCCTTCCTTTTTTTGTATGAGTAAATTTCTGACTTTAAAAAAAAAAAATTGATGAGGGGTCGTCCATAAATGACGTCACACTCGTAAGGGAGAGGGGGGTCAGCAATTTTGTGACGGTGTGTGATGAGGGGGAGGGGGTGGGGGTTTCAGATGGTGTGACGTCCCTTTTTTGCATTATAAAAAAGCAATGTTAGAAAAACAAGATTTAGCCGTTATTTCGCGTTTTAGAAAACGGTTTTTATAAATTGTAATATGAATTGATCAAAATACTCTATGTTGACAGAGTTCTGACAAGATTTTGGAAAAATTATCGATGTTTTAAGAAAAATTCAACAGAAATTTTGAGGGGGGGGGGGGGGGTTGTCGGCTGAGGTGTGACGTCATTTTAGGGGGAAGTCTGACTTTTTGTGACGACGTGTAACGGAGGGGAGGGGGGAGGTAAAACTCGTAAAAAAAGCGTGTCGTCACAAAAAGCAAGACCCCCCCCTACGAGTGTGACGTCATTTATGGACGACCTCTAACATTTTTTTTTTAAATGACAACGTGAGTTGTCACACTTTCTCTAACACTCCAAGCAATCCCTCACCAAATTCCACCCCCCCCCCCCTCGGCCCACTTTCGGCAGCATCATTGTGCCTTTTAATTTTTAATACTTTTATTCAGTTTAGTTGAAATTGGAACACTTAATTGTACAAAGTGTGCATCTCTATTTTTGTAACCAGCAAACAAATCACTTCAGTCAGTCTCTTTGTTGTTTTTTATTCATTTATTAAAACAAAAATACAATACAAATAAATAAGTCGTCTTTTTTAAACATTCATTTTATTCATTTGTGAAAACAGAAATACAATACAAAAAATAAATCGTGTTTTTCTAATGTTTTGGTGTGTTTCGGTTATTATAATAAAATACGCTCAACTGGAGGTAAACAAGCAACGGAGAATAAATTACGCTAAAATGGAGGTTTACCCATTACTTGACTTAGGCCAGTTAGGCCCTCAGACTTAGGCCTACTAGAATCTAGATCTAGAAATCTAGATCTAGATATCTAGATCTATATTCTAGATCTAGAATCTAGATTTAGATCTAGTAGATCTAGTGATTAGGATTAGACCTAGAGTGACAGAGTCTACCTTAATTAATTATTAATTAATTAGATCTAATTATTAATGACAATATGAATATTTTAGGCCTAAGGTAAATCGAGATGTAGAATGTAGATTCTAGATCTAGATCAAGATTCAGAATAAGTTATCATCACTGTAACCTTACTCACCTACTGCCGTACTGTAATGGTAGATCTAGAACCTAGATCTAGATCTAGATCTAGATCTAGATTTAGAGTTCTCTTTTTCCAGGAAATCGCTCGGTCTAACCAGCCTCTCGTAGCAAAGAGTTACAAAAACGAAAGCGCACTAAACACTTCTACTGATTGGCCTAATTAATACCACGTTTACACTTGCGACATGTATACTATACATTTCTAGAAAAAAAAACTCCGCTATAGGGTCTAAGATCACTAGAGGACAGTGTTTCTTCCAGACTTTTTCTCCGGGGGGGGGGGGGGGGGCACTTGAAATTTTCGGGAGGGGGGGGGGGCGGTAGACTTTCTTCGGGAGGGGGGGGGGGGACTGACACTGTTAAAAGTACATATTTTCTATATAAATTATATAAATTTCATTTCGTTCGGGGGGGGGGGGGGGAGGTAGAATTTTTTCGGGGGGGGGGGGGGGCTGGAAGAAACTCTGCTAGAGGAGAATCTGTGCAGTTTTTACGAACAGTAAGGTCAATAAAAGGGCGGCTAATCAAACAAAGTAAATAGTCAACAGGTATAACAGCAACTTTTGCAGATGTTCATGCTTTTAAGCAAACGTAACAGTGTTTCTTTTTCTCCCGGGGGGGGGGGGGGCATTGGTAAAAGTACATATTGCCTAAAGACTTTCTTCGCCCCCCCCCCTCCCATGAAGAGATGCTTGGAAGAAACGTTGCCACAGAAACAGTAGATTTTTACCTCTGTCTGATAGTTTCTGCGTCACAATATGTCGCAAATACCCGTCACGCTTTTGATTACAGATCCATTAACATTACAGTGTTCTTAAATGGGGTTTGTTTTCTAAAATATTGAAATCATTGAGCTGGGTGAAAATTACGTATATTGATACATTTACATAACGATTTACAAAATGATAAATGACCTAGCATTAAAAATATTATTAAAAATAATTTTTAAAAAGTCTGGCGTCACGCTTTCTGAACCTGTCTCCTCTCCATTGTCATATATCGCCACCCCCCCCTCCCAGTGGCGTAGCTAGGGGAGGGCGGGTGGGGCGGCCGCCCCGGGCGCCAACCGCTAAGGGGGCGTCAAAAAGGGTTGAAAAAAACTGATTTTAAGTAGGGGTGTTGAATTATATATACATTTGTACAACAATTGTGAGGCACCACAATAGAAACATTTAAGGATAGTGACTGGTTAAAAGCGCCACCTACCTTTCCAAGAGGGTGGGGGGGGGGGGGGGGTTCACTAACTTGAATAACAATATATAAATAAATAAATAAATAAATAAATAAATAAATAAATAAATAAATAAATAAATAAATAAATATATATATATATATATATATATATATATATATATATATATATATATATATATATATATATATATATATATATATATATATATATATATATATATATATATATATATATATATATATATATATATATATATATATATATGAGCGTGTGGGGCGCAAAATGGATGTTTCTACACGGGCGCCGGAATCGGTCGCTACGCTTCTGCCCCCCCCCCTATTATTTTGGCGTCATTTAAATAGAACCCCTAACTGTTAGCATGTTTACCCTAAACAGTTTACGGAAGCATTTTTTTCATGCAAAGCGAAGTAACTCTATTAAAATAATCGACCCAATAAGCCTAGTCTAGTTATATCCCCTTATAAAAAATGTAAACTCTCAGTTATCTTGTACATCTGTTATCTGTGCAGCCGTTTCCATTGTGTTTGTAGTTTTACTTCAAATTAGGAATACAATTCTACAGTGCCGCCAGACCCCGCAATGCCCACGCCGACCATAATCCATTTTTTTAGTTAAGAAATCTTAATTTTCTTTTATTTTTGACTTGATGGTTGTTTTGTTAAAAGAATACTGTAGCTGTGGTTAGATTATCTTATTCTATAGACACCATCCCACGCTCTTGTATAATTATTCTTTTTCCCTTTGCTTTAAACCAGGGGTCTCCAAACTACGGCCCGCGGGCCGAATGCGGCCCGCGATGTCCTCTCATCCGGCCCGCGGAGATCTTTTTGTCCACGGAAAAAACGTCTGTTGGTAATGGCTGAGGAACTTTGACCAGAAAAACCAAAGACATGTCAGGAACTAACTGGCCCCCAAACTGAAATTTGATAGTTAATGCGGCCCTCGGACTGAAAAGTTTGGAGACCCCTGCTTTAAACCATTGTGAAAGAAGGCAAACGTTTAAACCACTTCCATGACTTATTTCCCTTTTTTAAATAGTCAAACAAGAGTGCTCATAAGCTCCTTTTAATAGATTTTGTACTAAACATTTAAATAGCAATTACTTCTCTTAATTTTTTTAAATACATACTAAAGGATGACATAGTATAAAAAGGAAATGTATTTAAAATTAATAATATAAATACGAAAAGACATAAAAATAAACATAACACGAGAAGCCATTACATATAAAGCTTTGATATTTCAGATTTTTTTGACCGTATCGAAGTTAAGAAAATTTACGGCCGAAATCAAATAAAACAGCTTTTCAAAAACACTAAAGCACTCACATGTCCTGCGTGATTGTTTTTTATAGGCCATTGGATCGTGTCATGTGTCCATTTATTCTGAGTTTCTTTCCCTTGACGATGCTTTGCATGTTCTCATTTGGCTTTTCTTTAACGGATCTTAATGAGTCGAGTATGAGATTCCTAGAGGTCTACTGGCACGTTCTTGTATAGCTTTTGACAGCATTGTCAGTTTAGAAACTTGAAGCACACATTTATACGTGGAAAAAAGTATAATAAGCAGTAGCTAATTGAACTATTCTAACAAATTTTATTTTCCATATAAAGCAACAGATAAGCACAGGATATAGAGCTATACAATTAAAAAGGATTTGAAAGTGTTAAACCACACTTAACCTAACCACTTCTTACACAACCATATCTTACACAACCATATCTTACACAACCATATCTTACACTACCATTTCTTACACTACCATTTCTTACACAACCACGCCTAACACAACCACATCTAGCACAACCACATCTTACACAACCACATCTTACACAACCACATCTTACACAACCACATCTTACACAACCACATCTTACACAACCGCGCCTAACACAACCCCTATCCAGCACAACCACAGGTAAGCCTACCAGTCTCAAGATAAATGATCGATGCAATACAACACGATCGTTAGTTATTGATATTATCTGCTAAATGATAATGGACAGTACAAGATTTTAAATTATCACACAATAGCTATTTAATAGGTAAGACAAAATTAAAAGTTGCTATGACGTAACACACATTTCTCTAACCATACAACAACAGTTGTTTCAAAACGTACAAAAAAGTTGTTTCGAAACATAAAAATATACCATGGTAGTATAATAATCTTTTCAAAATGCAAGCAAAGAAAAATATTGAAATATTGGAATATAAAACTAATGCCTCAAAGGTATTTCAATACATCTTCGATACGCTAACCAGCGTTAAGTTAATATAGAATTAGATCGAAATTTACCAGTAACAGAAAATTGCACACACTGTGTGATATAGAAATAATACTTGTCTCGAACACAGAAGTAAAACCCACCCTAAAGTCCCGACTAGAATTTAACCCATTCTCTAACTACATTCTTTAAAGAACGAATAACACTATTTTTAACCCATTCTCTAACTCATTCTTTAAAAAAACGAATCATACTTTTAAAATCCTTATTCTAACTACATTCTTTGAAAAAACGAATTATACTTTTTAAATCCATACTCTAACTACATTCTTTAACAAATGAATCACAAAAAAAAAAATTGAGCTCAGAAATTATGCAGCCTCTAAAATCATTTGGCATATATTATGTTTTATAAAACACAAGGATGACATTAATTTTAATTACGAGCCTAATAAATGAGCAACAAAGCGCTAAACATGTACACTAACAAATAAAATACAATGGCATTTTGTTTTCGATCAATGTTTTAAGCACATGCAATACAATTCATATCTGAATATCAAAAGGTGCACTGCTAAAAGTGAAGCGGAAACGTTCAAAAACTGGGCTGAATAAATTCATCTTAAATCAATAAGCACCGATTATGTAAATCTTTCTTAGCGTACCCATGGAAAGCAACTTTATTTGAGGTAAATATGTGTACATTTATAATATAAAAGTAAAAAAAAATAAGTATCAAAATGCAATATTTTCTATAAAACCTAAACTCACTATAATTTTAAGAAACCTAATAAATTGAATTTTCATTAAAGGATTTGTTAACAGAATCCGCAAGATTTTTTCCGAACTTGTTCTAAACATAAATAGCAAACCTTCCTAGTAAAATTGATAGAAATCAATTCATTGGAACATTTTTAAAATTGTATTCGATACTTCTTACCATAAACTAACGGCCTTTTAAAAACAATGATATAGATTAAAATAAGCATTAAAAAATTCATTCCTCAATTTATATTGCTGTTTTTTTATATTTTTAAAATGTAGGCATATATGATGTAGCGTATCTCAATTTCATAGATTAATTAATCTGGCTCTGAAGTAAAATCTTACAATTTAATTTAAGTTATGTTTGTTTTAATTTTTTCAATTATATTGATTTTGTTCTTTGAAATTGCTGAAAAATAATAACGCAAAATATTAATTAGATTAACAGAGTGGTACCGTTTTCATATAACATGGAATGCTTATAAATTATCATTGTTTTTGCTGAAAAAATAAAACTATCCAACTATCTAAACAATAAAACTATCCATTTATCTTACTAATAAAACTATCCAAATATCTTAAGAAAAGAGCTGTTTTATTTTATTTTATCAATAAAGCTATCAATTTATCTTAAAAAAAAAACTTTACATTAACAATAAAACTATCCATGTATCTAAACAATACATTTATCCATTTATCTTAACAATAAAAATATCCGTCTATATAAAGAATAAAACTATCCATTTATCTTAACAATAAAACTACCCATTTATCTTAACAATAAAACTATTCATTTATCTTAACAATAAAACTGTTCATTTATCTTAACAATAAAACTGTTCATTTATCTTAACAATAAAACTTCCCATTTATCTTAACAATAAAACTGTTCATTTATCTTAACAATAAAACTGTTCATTCATCTTAACAATAAAACTACCCATTTATCTTAACAATAAAACTGTTCATTTATCTTAAAATTAAAACTACCCGTGTATCTTAAAAATAAAACTATCACATACACTCGTGTGATTTCTATATTTGAGATCATAAAAACGAATGTTTATTTTTTAAGTCACGTATGTTAAAATTTAGTTGATGATAATAAAATTTGCATGCAGGATTTATTTATATCAGTGTATAAATATTAAACATACATTTTGAATAAGCTAGATATTACACAACCAACTGATCTCCTTATAGGTCTGTCCAGCAGAACCTATTCTAGTGCCAGCGAATGTACACGACACATCAAATATGATGTAAAGATGTGAATACAATAAGAAAGCCTACTATACATGCAGAGGCTTTTGGTGCCGAAACTTCATTTTTTGGCGTTTCTTTAGCTGCCCCTTTAGGAGGTTCAGTGATGGTGTTTCCTACATATAATAAAATATCAGGCAATTTAGTGATTTCTTCGTGAGTACTGTTGAGTGTTTGCTCCGCTCTGACACACGTCCCATCTTCCCCTATGACGTCATCTGCGTGTCGACAACACTTCACGTCTGTGTACCCGGCGCACGGTCGTGCCGGGTAGTTGAGGCCCAAACTTTCCCCAACGCCACACAGTGAGCAGGCCAGACACTCGAAGTAGCATTTACCGTCCTCAGTCTTGTGGCGGTAGAATCCGTCGGTACAGAGAATCTCCGCGTCCCGTGTGGAGTTACAGGGTGTCACCAGTCGTTCATTCTGGTGGGAAATGGGAAAACAGTGGTTTCACAACTGGTTCATTCTGATGGGAAATGGTAAAATTAAAGTGGTTTTACAACTCGTTCATTCTGATGGGAAATGGTCTAATAAACTTGCTTGAATTCTTTTACAACAAATCAGTAACCTCCAATCATAGTTAGAACAAATCAAGAACTTACAATCAGAGTTAGAACAAATCTAGAACTTACAATCAGAGTTAGAACAAATCTAGAACTTACAATCAGAGTTAGAACAAATCTAGAACTTACAATCAGAGTTAGAACAAATCTAAAACTTACAATCAGAGTTAGAACAAATCTAGAACTTACAATCAGAGTTAGAACAAATCAAGAACATACAATCAGAGTTAGAAAAAATCTAGAACTTACAATAACAGTTGGAGCAAATCTAGAACTTACAGAGTTAGAACAAATCAAGAACTTACAATCAGAGTTAGAACAAATCAAGAACTTACAATTGTGTCGAGCTGGTAACACTTTTCACATTCTGTGTGTTGACCACTCGCCGCCATCATGGCTGTCATGAAGTATCCCTCCCCACATGTCTGGCACTGTGATGTCACGGTGTCCAGAAACTCCCCCGCCGGGCACTTGACCGCGGTCGGGGTTAGAACTCGAAGTGTGACCTTCTTAGGCAGCGCCCTGGAGGGAACGTCCGGATCACAGGTGCCAAAGCTTTGGTCAGACTCGTGGTGGGGGGAGATTCCAGAAACAATGGCAGACAGCAAGTTGCAGCAGTGTAGGAAGAACAGTGCTGTTCCCAATTTTATAGATATGGTTGGCATTTTTGTTCCCCTTGCAAGACTGAAATCAGTATACACATTGATTGTATAGATTGATACAACCATATTTTGGTAATATAATCAGTTTTTAGATTAAATTAAGCTAATAAAAAAAAGAAACATCTAATAAATTGAAAATAATTTTAAATTAATAGTTGATAAGAAAAGTTAGTAACCTATTTAATTTAATTATATATATATATATATATATATATATATATATATATATATATATATATATATATATATATATATATATATATATATATATATATATATATATATATATATATATATATATATATATACAGGGGCGTAGCGAGAGGGGGGGGGGTCGGGGGGTGCCGACCGCACCGGCTGACACCATTTAGGGGGGTGAAACCAAGGCAAAAAAATAGCAAAATATATAGAGAAAAACTTGAGGGGGGTTGGCAAATCGAAAACTTGAAGGGGGGGTGCAAATCGAAAGTTTGAGGGGGGGGGGGGGGTGGAAATCGAAAATTTGAAAGTTTGTCCCCGGGAAGGGTCGCTACGCCTCTGGGGGTGACACCATTAAGTGCCGCACCGAGTGACACCCGACCTCGCTACGCCACTGTATATATATATATATATATATATATATATATATATATATATATATATATATATATATATATATATATATATATATGTATATATATTTATATATATATATATATATATATATATATATATATATATATATATATATATATATATATATATATATATATATATATATATATATAAAATTGTAGGCATATATATATATAACACATAGACACACGTATAACTAATGTATTAAAACATTGTCTTATGCCATCTATCTAGCTTGCTTATAAAAGGAAAACGTAGAACATTAACAACGAATATGGTTGAATTGTTTAGCAACGCAAGAAGGGAACTTTTTATAAAGAGTTATTAAAAATATTATTGGCTGACTGTAAAAATATTCGTGACTGACTAAAACAATTTTCCACCATTAAACATAAACAAGAAACATATCAGTGACCCTTGACTAGATAGTAGATAACCATGTACTAAACAGGAATGGGTTGACGGTAGTTATACTTAGATTACTTACTTCTTACAGCTTGTTACTATAATGTCGTGTTTTAATCATTTAAAGCATATCAGGGTCCACATGAATTTCGTTTTGAAAGTTGGTAATTTACCTGTTCTTTAAATGTAATAGGGAACATGAGCTTGAACTAAAAATAGTTAGCCCAAAATACCTGTAATTCCATGAAAGGCCTATTTATAATTATCGGTACTTCTTTTTCTCACAACTTGAAAATCCGTTTTGATGTTTTGATGTAACACGCCAATGATATTTTTACAGTTCGGGGGATAAGCTGTGACTACGGTTGTGGTTTGGCGTGGGGTGTTGTAATTAGTGTTATAGTGCGTGCAATGTTTTTATTAAATAAAAATTAAATAACGATTTAATTACACGGTAATGAAAATACTGGCCACACCTAAAATCATTAGGGGTCGTCCATAAATGACGTCACACTCGTAGGGGGGAGGGGGGTCCATAATTTTGTGACGGTGTGTGATGAGGGGGAGGGGGGGTTCAGATGGTGCGACGTCACACTTTTGCATTATAAAAAAGCAATGTTAGAAAACGAATTTTAAACATTATTTTGCGTTTTAGAGCACTTTTTAAATAGGAATTGATCAAAATACTCGATTTTGACAGAGTTAGACACGATTTTGGAAAAAATATCGATGTTTTAAGAAAAATTCAACTGCAATTTTGAGGGGGGTTGTAGACTGAGGTGTGACGTCATTTTAGGGAGGGGGTCTGACTTTTTGTGACGATGTGTGACGGAGGGGAGGGGGGAGGTAAAAATCGTCAAAAAAAGCGTGACGTCATTTATGAATGACCCCCTAGCCTTTCTATCAATTTTCTAATTTTATTTTTAGAGTTATCTGAAAAATACATATTTAAAATTGTTACATAACCTCTGCTCACTAACACACACGCTACTCTCAGTCTTATAGGTTAAACTACTCTACTAAGGTTCTACATTCAAATCTGTTTACACAGAAAATATGATCGTAATCAAAGCTGATTTCCCGAAAAGTTTGTAAGCAGGAAGTTATAATCTAGATCTAGGTACATCTAGGTATATCAAAAAATCTGAATATAAAGTTTTGTTATGATTAGCTGATCTGATTTTTTTTTTATTTCATTTTTTTTTATTTTTTTTCCTTTTTTTCTGGGGAGGGGGGGGGGAGGGAAGGGGGTGACATCACTGGTACCGCACCGGTCGACACCCAGCCTAGCGACGCCATTGGTTTTAATAATAGGCTTTCAAACGCATTAAAAAAAAGAGAAAATAAGGTAGGCCTGCAGTACCTCTACCTCACCTCTACTCATTACCTCTACCTAATACTCTTTTCCAGTTGGTGCCCAAGACATACAAGGCAGATGAAGTAGAGTACACCTGTTTCATTAACCTCAACATATGAGTGTGGTCAGCACTATGAACATCCCCTAACGTATGTCACGTACCTAGTAGAGTTTGGTGGACTCAAGGATCCACCAGACTCGAACCTGTGATTCGAACTTGAGACTTTCAGATTAGCAGTTGTAAACACTACCGCCCGACTACAATTAGAACTTAAAGTTGATTTTTTTTCATTGATTATTTAAATATTTAAAAAAATAGAAGTTGTAAGTGTGGCAACTAACTCCCAGAGAGCAATCGAACAACACGAACTATATCACCAACGTTTTAACAAGTTCATAAGGATAAAGAGAAAATTACTTCACTAATTAGCAAGTGACAACCGAATAATGTCGTTATATCAATTAGGATAACATATTAATAAAAGTATGTGAGTCGAAGCTTTTTATGGTCCGCTTAGTTCTGATCTATAGACCAACTTGTGGCGGAGATATTTCCCGCAGGGATTAGTTTGCTCCAATGATCTCCCTGTAAGACTTGTTACACGGAACAAACGTCACGGTTTAAAAGTGGAACTGGGTGCCTACATCTGTGTACATGACCAGGATATAGATCATAGGTGTTAAAGACATACGTACCTGTACCTGTCGCTTTTGCTGAGTCATCCGTGTCATTGCTATGTTAGCAGCACACTTAAAGAGACCTGGCTCGTGATCAGCTGATAAAAACTATAGGTAAGTTGATAACTTTGATTTAGGTGTGTTGATAGTCCGAACTTTTAATGGAATATTTTTATTGTTTTGAATAAGACATAGGGCCTATTTATTAGGCTGGTGTTATACAGGTGTTATGTATTCTAAGTTTTTAAAATAGTTTCTACTTGATAGGCTAATAATAGTTATGGTCTTTTGTTTTGGCATAAACAAATTTGAGGAGTTGATAAAGGTGGATAGAAGGCGAGTTTTACTGACATATGAAAACAACAACACAGTTAAACAGGAGGTTAACTATCTTAGGGTACACCGTGTCGAGATATAAAAACAAGAACACGGTTAATAAACTGGGTCTAGATCTCGGTGTAAACTATGTTAAACGGTATCGGTATATAGTGTAGACTTACTTCCTTGTAGCGAGGGTACAACGAGCAGTGACAGACACATCTAATACACAGATATCGCAAACAATAAGAAAGTGCCGAGTATAGAAGGACAATGCAGGAACCTATGGAAGTAAAATTAAGGAGGAGGTGGCGCTGGGTGGGTCACACGCTGAAAAAGGCTCGCTCTAATGTGACACGCCAGACGCTTGAGTGGAACCCCCATGGGAAAGAGGAAAAGAGGACGCCCAAGATAGACCTGGAGGCGGAGTCTACCTGAACAAGTGAAGAGAGCAGGGATTTCTAGGGAGATAGCAAAATCAATAGTCGGGAACAGGACAAATGGAAAGATTATTGTTGAGGCCTTGTTCGGGAACAGGACAAAATGGACGAGCTTTGTTGAGGCCCTGTTCCATCAGGAGCAAAGAGGAGTTAATCGAGTAAGTCAAGTCAAAAATAACACATACACGAACATACACCCCAGTAGCGGAGCCAGAAATAAAGCCCCCCCCCCCTATTAAGTGCTTATTAATGTGATTTTTTTAAGCGTGGCGCTCAGCACTAGTACTACACGGTGTGGCATATCCTATATATAGACTTCTGTGTTTATCTATTTAGCATTTCTTTATAACTGATATAAAATCGAGCTAAAGATACAAAGATAATTAAAAAGTTTTAAAAATTAGAAATCGGGTTCTACTTTTTATTTTATTTAATTTAAAAGCCCAACAAAGATGCATTGTATACCAATTATTTTGTTTATCATAAATTAAATTAAGTTAGTTAGTATTACGATACATTAACAGTTGGATTCGGTTTTTGTTATTCTAGAGTTAAGGTAAGTTGAAATGGGTATGACACTAAGTTTAGATTGAGATTGGGTGTTATTACATTTTGAAATGATTAAAAATAGACTTGGTTAATCATACTGCTCCGTTAAGATTGGTGAGTTAAAAAAATTAACGTGAATAAAATATGTGGCAATTATAGCGGTGGTGTATTGCAAGATACGTTAATTATTTGAGTTAATTATTTGAGTTAATTATTTGAGTTAATTATTTGAGTTATTTATTTGAGTTAATTATTTGAGTTAATTATTTGAGTTAATTGTTTGAGTTAATTATTTGAGTTAATTATTTGAGTTAATTATTTGAGTTAATTATTTGAGATAATTATTTGAGTTATGTGAGTAAAAGCACATAGTAGATTGGAGTTTGTGTTTAATTAAGTGTTAAAGTAGGCCAACTATAAGTAACGTGTTGTAAATTAATTTACGCATTCAGCTTACGTCATATTTTATTTGGGATTTGAATATGGATAGAAATAGTGATAGTTACAGGTTTAGGTAGGTGAGAGGGATAGCAATAAAGAAAATAAAAAGGGTTAGGAAAAAAACGGCAAGGAAAGGGCTCATGGGCAGAAATAGGGAAACGATTAGGTTTACTATAGGGAGGGCGATAAGGATAAAAAATCGCTTAAAGATGATAAGCATTATAAGCATGACTTTAAGTATACGGGTCAGGATAATAAGGATAAGTTTACGAATAATGATGATACTAATGATAAGTATGATACATTACGGATAGGAAAAGAGATAGGGATGCTGATTGGGATGGGGAGAGTGAAATTGATATTGATAGTGATAGGGATAGGGATAGTTTTAGGGATGGGATAGATATAGGGTTATGTTTGTGTTTAAGTTTACAATTACGGTTGGGGTTATGTTTAGTTGCATATTGACATTAAATTGAAAATTGTATATATTACCAAAAACCCCGGCAGTGCCGGGGGTATGCTGCTAGTCTTTTAAAATGAAAAAAGAATTCACGTTTTCAATTTGTGTCGTCAGGAAATGGTCCAAAATAACGTGATGCCGTGTGTGATGTTGGTGTCAGCAGCTGTGTATGCTGTAGCCCGGGCCGAATGTGACCCAGACATCCCTTCCAGACAGCTCCCCCCACAGGGTAACCCACAGGCTTTGTCTTCAAGCCCACCTCTGACATGCGGGGCGGGTGTGTACAAGGACACGTCATCACATACCTGCCGTCCATGTCCAGAGGGCACGTTCATGACCACCAAGATGGCGAGCTTGGAGTACGAGATGTGTGAGACTTGTCTGCAGCCCAACAGTGTAAGTCTCCTGACGATCTATTTAAGGCTTTTACTCTCCATAGCAGTGTAAGTTTCCTGACGACTTCTCTAAGGCTTTTACTCTCCATAACAGTGTAAGTTTCCTGACGATCTAAGGCTTTTACTCTCCATAGCAGTGTAAGTTTCCTGACGACTTCTCTAAGGCTTTTACTCTCCATAACAGTGTAAGTTTCCTGACGATCTAAGGCTTTTACTCTCCATAACAGTGTAAGTTTCCTGACGATTTCTATAAGGCTTTTACTCTCCATAACAGTGTACGTTTCCTGACGATTTCTCTAAGGCTTTTACTCTCCATAACAGTGTAAGTTTCCTGACGATCTAAGGCTTTTACTCTCCATAACAGTGTAAGTTTCCTGACGATTTCTATAAGGCTTTTACTCTCCATAACAGTGTAAGTTTCCTGACGATTTCTATAAGGCTTTTACTCTCCATAACAGTGTACGTTTCCTGACGATTTCTCTAAGGCTTTTACTCTCCATAACAGTGTAAGTTTCCTGACGATCTAAGGCTTTTACTCTCCATAACAGTGTAAGTTTCCTGACGATCTTTCTAAGACTTTTACTCTCCATAACAGTGTAAGTTTCCAGACGATCTATTTAAGGCTTTTACTCTTCATAACAGTGTAAGTTTCCTGACGATATCTCTAAGGCTTTTACTCTCCATAACAGTGTAAGTTTCCTGACGATCTATTTAAGGCTTTTACTCTCCTTAACAGTGTAAGTTTCCTGACGATGTGTCTAAGGCTTTTACTCTCCATAACAGTGTAAGTTTCCTGACGATCTAAGGCTTTTACTGTCCATAACAGTGTAAGTTTCCTGACGATCTATTTAAGGCTTTTACTCTCCATAACAGTGTAAGTTTCCTGACGATCTAAGGCTTTTACTCTCCATAACAGTGTAAGTTTCCTGACGATCTAAGGCTTTTACTCTCCATAACAGTGTAAGTTTCCTGACGATCTAAGGCTTTTACTCTCCATAACAGTGTAAGTTTCCTGACGATCTAAGGCTTTTACTCTCCATAACAGTGTAAGTTTCCTGACGATCTAAGGCTTTTACTCTCCATAACAGTATAAGTTTCCTGACGATCTAAGGCTTTTACTCTCCATAACAGTGTAAGTTTCCTGACGATTTCTCTAAGGCTTTTACTCTCCATAACAGCTGTTTTACACGGATGCAAAGTTCACACGCTAAATAAAATACAACAACAAACACACGTACAAATAGAAATGGAAAAGAACAGCAAATCATTTGTAAAAATTCATTATTATGTATTTTTTTTTTAAATTTCAAGCATGTATTGATGTAACAAAAACTATGTTACAGAACGAGAGAGTGGAAGAGAAGTGCAGCGCAACACGAGACACGAACATTCTGTGTCTGGATGGCTTGTACAGGTCTGCAGGTACAGACAGGTGTGACTGGGAGTGTAGGAACTGTGACGTGTGCGGGCTGGGCAGCCAACAGTACCTCAACTATGAAAAACGGAAGTGCAGCGGGTTCAACAACACCGTCTGCTGCAAGTATGACGACATGGAGGTCATCAATGATCGATGTGTTCCGGTGACAACACCTCCCACAACTCAACATGTTACGTCACAGACCGGAAGGTCACAGATCACATCACCAAAACCCACCACTACACCTATTCCAGTCGGATTCAAAAGAAACAAGGGAACAAGAGTTTCTCCCCCTTTGTATTTTACTCTAACAGTATTAATTATGTCCCTTGTCCGGTTCGTTATCTAGTCCGTCCTTTGCAATATTAATCCAGTTTTTTTTGTCCAATTATCAGATTGTTTGAGGCAAAAACAAATAATTTTTTAAGAGCGAAATTTGTTTCTAAAAAAAAAGCCAACTCTTTTGTATTGCTCAGAATCTATGTATATAATTCTCTTCTGGGAGCCGTTAGAAAACAAGCTGCAAGTGCCTCCTTGCAGTCCCCTCTCTTTCTCTCTATCACTATCACTACCACCCCCACCTCACCCCCACATTGTCTGGTGAGCTGTGGTAACGCTAAATGTTTACAAAGCTAAATGTTTACAAATCGTAAAGCCGTAGAGCCGGGTTTCTATTAGGGGCAGATAATTTAGTTCCATTTTAAACTTACAGGAGGTAACTAAGAAATAACTAAGAGGAGGCTGCTTTCACGGGGGGGGGGGGGGGGGGGGGGGTGTAGGGTCGTGGTTAGGGGAAAGGGGGGTGTTAGTGTTTTAAAGCAAATATTTTCAGTGGCAGCATTGGTACTGTCGAATTCACAAATTATGAATTACTGAAAAGTAGAAAATAAAACAACTAAATAGCGGCGTATGATACGCCGCGGGTCGGCTCGTAGAAAATATACGTCCAACTATTACAGCTTAAATAATTTAGTTTAAGTTTGACATCAATAATCATTGGCTTAATAAAAGAAGGGTTGCTCATCTTAATGTGTACGTGTTTTGTTTTAATCTTCTTTTACTTCTAACTTGATATTGATAAAGTTAAATTTTACACAGCTAATAAAATCCTCACAATATTGTAACAACGATTTGCAGCCATTGAGTACTAATCAGCTTCTGTTGGTACTCTATGATCACGACAACAGAGTCATGAAGCGTGTAATACACATTTAGAAACAGTAGTTTTTAAAAACTAAAAACTTTTTAATAAGAAACTATTCTAATTTTTTTTTAAAAATACAATTAAAAAAGACAAACACCGCATTAGGATTATAAATATAAAGTATTGTGTGTTCAATAGTTCAAAAACAATGATTATAAAAAAGTAAAATGAAACCACATGTAGCACAACCACTGTTTAGCACAACCACTGTTTAGCACAACCACATGTAGCACAACCACATGTAGCACAACCACATGTAGCACAACCACTGTTTAGCACAACCACATGTAGCACAACCACTGTTTAACACCACCAGAATGAACACATATCTACCACTAAGAGTGATACGTTGTATAAAGTTGTTCCATACATTACGACACCAAAGTAAACATTTATTCTACGTCCTGCAAAATGTTAACTTTTGGTAAAAATATAAAAAAATAAAAGGAACTATTTAAATAAGGGATAGGTTAAAGTTGTTATTTCTAACATGAACTTATTTTAATTGAGATACAACAACAGTTAGTTTAAAAAAAAATAAAGTTAAACTAAGCTGCATGCCCGAAATTTCGTGTAAAAATGTAAACAAACAACCAACCCCTTAAAAAATAAAATAATTAAACAGTGACATAACTTAAACCATAGTAAAGCCACACACGTTCTTAAGCTAAGACTAGTTTTCGACTAAATGATTTGGCTAATGATGAGGCAGCAACTTCCACCATCACATTTTTATCCTCGGCATTTTCAATAAACATCTAAGAACAGGCAACATGGCTAGATTTGTTGTCCAAAGTTTTAAACTTTCTCGATACATCTAATTAATGAATACGAAAAAAGTTAGCTGCACATACAGAATCAAATGCACAATGTTGCTTAAAAATAAAAGTGTTTTAATATATCCCGATTAAAAAAAATTGCGAAACGAATACACGAAATGCAAATTTATTTAACAAATATTGCTATTTTTATAGCAATAAATTAATATGAATCTAGATGGAATATTTTCCATATTTGTTTATTTTTTTTTTAATTATTGCCTAAATTTACTGCTCTGTAAGAAATAAATATTCCAGAATCAGAACCCATAATCCTCAAGTTATATCCAAAGGTAGGCTTTCAATTAAATAACCAACGGAGTTAATTAAATTGACAGAACATTTTAAAAATTAAATTCGACACATCGCATCATAAATGAAAGAACTTTTTTTAACATGAAGTATGTTACTGAACTTGAATTATTACCAAAGTATAAAAAGTAAAATTGACAAGATTCATTGACAAGATTCATTGACAAGATATCAGTCTACCTAATGTGCAGCTACAATACCTAAAGATTGGATAGAGTGAAAAACTAAGTTACACTTGTCACAAGAACAAGTTTCAACAAGTTGTAATAACAATAGTCAACGCTAATTACCCTACTATTAATTAGTTCTGAAAGCTTTAATATTTTACATTGAACGAGTACAAACTATCTAACTCATCTAACGTAAACTTAATTTCTGTTTTTGGTCAAATCTAATCATTTCAATCAATGATTTCTTTTCTTCTGTAGAACTTGTATTGTTAAATCTACTGGAATTGTGAAGTCTCAAATTTTTTAGGTTCAACAAAAAATTTAGCTAATAAAATAACATGCCCAGTAAAATTATAAACTTTAAATAAATGATTTATGTTTTGTGTAATAAACTAATTTCCACTAAATTTACGTAAAATTTATATTACATTATTTAATTGTATACGTGGGTTATACATATCAGAACGGATTTTCCCATACCAAACTTCTTTCGTTTTCATTACAGATCGCAGTCTGTTTGGTTTTTCCGTGAAAATTCCTAAGTGCATAACAACAGTCCTTGAAAGACGTATGCCCCCTATATAATTTTTTTTTACTTTGAACGGCTTACTCTGACAGATCCAGAGCAAATCAGAGTGACTCATGGTGGCTAGAGCTTCAGGTAAGAATTTTATCGTTGAGATAAAAGTTTATAGATTGGTTTACTTGATTCTAGTGTGTCAGCTACAGACAAACATTTTTAATATGTATATATATATATATATATATATATATATATATATATATATATATATATATATATATATATATATATATATATATATAATATATATAGGCCTATATATATATATATATATATATATATATATATATATATATATATATATATATATATGTGTGTGTGTGTGTATAAGTATATATAAGTTTGCATATGTATGCATATATAAGTATATATATATATATATATATATATATATATATATATATATATATATATATATATATATATATATATATATATATATATATATAACGTTTATTTCGATGTTCGATAGTAAAATTGAACTTTGTCGTCTTCACACCGAGTAATATATAGGAAATTTACAACATTCTTACAAACTTTTTTTGTCAATTTACTAGATTCTGTTTTCATTTAATTCTCAATATTTTTCGACTTTTCTGCTCTTTGTGACTTCTCTTCTTGCCAATAATATTGTGTTAGCACTTGGTCATACCACTTTATATTCAATACTATCAGCCTAATATAGTAAGATTTATAACATCCACCATCTTTTTCCTTTTGCATACTCAAAATGTTTTGTAAATAACGTATAGTGTAGCTATGTGAAGTCTGTGTAATATTTGGAGGGTGAAAGTCGAACTGTTTGTAATAGGTGAACGAGTGGCAATGTAATAGGGGAGGTGAGCGACTGAGTTGGTGTAAAGAGGCTATTGGGGACAGCTGGGGGATTTGGGGAGATGACCGCGTCGGAAAGCAGTGTTAGTCTTCAAAGCTGTACGGCAAGTGCCTACAGTATAGGTGATGACTGCTTAAAATGGCGTCACTGTAACCGGCATCACATTAGGTGAAGCTGTACCATCATCACATTAGGTGAAGCTGTACCATCATCACATTTAGTGGAGCTGTACCATCATCACATTAGGTGGAGCTGTACCATCATTACATTAGGTGGAGCTGTACCATCATCACATTAGGTGGAGCTGTACCATCATCACATTAGGTGGAGCTGTACCATCATTACATTAGGTGGAGCTGTACCATCATCACAATTCATGGAGCTGTACCATCATCACATTAGGTGGAGCTGTACCATCATTACATTAGGTGGAGCTGTACCATCATTACATTTGGTGGAGCTGTACCATCATTACATTAGGTGGAGCTATACCATCATCACATTTGGTGAAGGTGTACAAGCATTATAATTAATGGAGCTGTACCATCATCACATTTGGTGAAGCTGTATCAGATAAATTTTAATTAACGCTAATAATTAGTATAATCAGTAATTTAATCGCAAATATATTTCTTGTTTTAACTTAACTGAAACTTAACAGCCATTAAATCAATAATTCAATAACATACGGTTTGTATAAAACAAGTCTATATCAACCCAACGAGAATTCCTTTTATGAGTTGCTGTAGTTTTGTTTTTTTTATTGACACACAGTGTGCGGGTGCAAACTTGCGTGACACGGCCTTGTCCTAACAAAACTGTGTTGAGAAAAATCTCCGGTTCCCATGTGTTCGCTCATGCATGTTTAGAGTGTTTTCGTGTGCTCCGATTACATAGCTGCTAGACGGCAAAGTCTTAACAAGAACAGGAATATACAGCCGAGCATTAGTTTTATAAAACTAAACACACGTTTTAAAAACTAAGAAAGCGCGAGGTAATTTTACACTAAATGGGAATAAATAGATGAAAAAACTGTTGTCTTGGAATAAATATTTCGCAATTTTTATTAATCTGGTTATGTAGCATAAAATAATTACACGTGAGTAAATTTACTTTTGTTTTCAAATTTTTGGATTTCCATTTATGAAACATGTGCGTCCTCCGCTCTATCTGTGAGTTTAGCATGGATGGGCACTGGGGTCAGTAGGTTGTATACACGGGTCGCCGATACTTGTCATCCAGTAGTTTAACTCAGAGACGTAGTGAGGGCGGGGCGGGTGGTGCAGACCGTACCGGGTGACACCAATTAGGGGGCGGGGGTGACACCTAGGCAAAATTTGCAAAATGTGCAGACTAAACATCGTTACCATTAAGTCTGAAGGGATTAAAGCTTATACACATATGTGTACCCGTATGTGGCATATATTTGAATTATAGGCCTTTGTAGGCCGAAACACACACATACACACACACATACATATATATATATATATATATATATATATATATATATATATATATATATATATATATATATATATATATATATATATATTGTTTCTTGGGGGGAGGGGGGTGACACCACGTAGTGTCGCACCAGGTCACACCCGACCTAGCGACGCCACCGGTTTAACTAGGTCATTCCACGCCGTCAGAAAAATAAAACTCCGCTCGAAACAAGTTGTTCTATTTTACCAAAACTGCCTATACTTACAAAAAAATCAACATGTTTTAAATCTTTCTTTGATTTTGAAAGTTAATACAAAAAGATTACTGTGAAGCCTGAATGTTAGGCAAGACTCATATAAAGGTCAAGGATAGGCGAAAGGTAGAATAATAGTGTAGGTCAGCTAGACATTAGTCAAGCAGAGCCAATTGGATTGCAGTGGAACAATCTGACTAGTCACGTGAATGGTCAGCTGACGGTTGCAGTGTTGGAGGTTCGGTGAGGGGTTTATAAGCAGTTGGTCATTGCGAGTTAGAAAGCAGTTGTAGATATATATATTAGTAGTAGATAGTTGAGTTGGATTAGGAGATTAGTAAGGGTATAGTTGAATAGTAGAACTACTGTATAGTAATGTAGAGTAGGAGTAGGATATTGATTAGTGTAAATAAACAAACTACCACATATTTGACTTGTGTTGATGTCGCACATTGTTTTAGGCTATAGAAAGGTCGATCTACTAACCACACTATATAATAGACCTACACATTACGTGTACGATATATAATGTTGAAACATCTCAAAACCCTGATATTGGTGACAAATAGATCCTGTCCACTGAAGGGTAAGGTGTATTAATTGACGACGCTTTACAAAGGAAATTAAAACCAGAATGTAAAGCTTCACAATTAAGCTATTGAGTGATTCGATAATTAAATAAAGAATCAAGAGCAGTCGTGTTTATCCTACTCTTATGATAAATACGAGAGTGATGTCACTTTAAAACTACAAAACTAGCCCAATGTACCAGGATTGTATTGATCATGTGCAGGGGTCTCCAAACTACGGCCGGATGCGGCCCGCGAAGTCCTCTGATCCGGCCCGCGGAGATCTTTTTGTCCAAGGAAAAAATCGTTTTTTGGTGATGGCTGAGGAACTTTGCTCAGAAAAATCAAAGACATGCCTGGAAGAAACTGGTCCCCGAACTGAAATTTGATAGTTAATGCGGCCCTAGGGCTGAAAAGTTTGGAGACCCCTGATCATGTGTGTTATAGCTGTTAGTTTATCGTCCGCTTTTCTCGGAAATTTTGCTGACGTGTTTATACTTTCAGTTTCTAATTTTGCAGATGCTATGAGGAACCGCTGCAATGTTGACCTGCGTCTACCTGCTTTACCTGTGTCTACATGGATCTAAGGCTCTTAGTGCCTGTGACCTTGACATTCCGAGAACAGCAGGGGGCATGTTGGCTGACTCAGAAATGACTCACGCCACATGTACTGAGGGGATGTACTTCAACACCGACCTCCAACAGTGTGTCGTCTGCCCCGGTGGCACCTTCATGACGTCACACATGGCGGGTAAAAAACTAGCAGCCTGTCGGAAGTGTAGCACACCTGTACAGGTAATCTAATTTTCTTTTAGCTAAAGTACTTTGCAGTATAGTTAGTTTTTGAAAATTCTCCTTGATTTTTAAAAAATAATTTATTGTGTAGAGTAAATATTTCTATTGTATTTAACTTCAGAACGAGGTAATAAAGTCTGCGTGCACTCCTACAAGAGACACAGAGATAATGTGTGCGCCAGGGTTTTATAAGGTAAGGGACGCCAGCGACCATTGTGCCTTCTCTTGTCAGGCTTGCAGCGTCTGTGGTCTAGGTGAGCAGTTCTACAAAAACTACGAGGCGAGGCCGTGTCTAGAGGCTAGTGACACCATCTGTTGCTATGACGACAACATGGATGAGAACTGTGTGGACAAAAAGACCACGACAACAACAACAACGACAGTAAGAACAACAACAATGTTACAACTACTAACAGCGAATGAATTACCTAAAGCTGCACACTTGCGAGGTTTCAACTCAGCTCAGATAGCCCATCGTGTGAATATCACTCGTTATCTTCTCATTTGTATTGTCATCATAACACACCGAATCATGTGACTGTCATCAGTTATCTTCTCATTTGTATTGTCGTCATAACACACCGAATCATGTGACTGTCATCAGTTATCTTCTTATTTGTATTGTCATCATAACACACCAAATCATGTGACTGTCATCAGTTATCTTCTTATTTGTATTGTCATCATAACACACCAAATCATGTGACTGTCATCAGTTATCTTCTTATTTGTATTGTCATCATAACACACCAAATCATGTGACTGTCATCAGTTATCTTCTTATTTGTATTGTCATCATAACACACCAAATCATGTGACTGTCATCAGTTATCTTCTTATTTGTATTGTCATCATAACACACCATATCATGTGACTGTCATCAGTTATCTTCTTATTTGTATTGTCATCATAACACACCAAATCATGTGACTGTCATCAGTTATCTTCTTATTTGTATTGTCATCATAACACACCAAATCATGTGACTGTCATCAGTTATCTTCTTATTTGTATTGTCATCATAACACAAAATCGTGTAAATATGACCTGCTTCTATATTGAAATGATATTGTTTGCCTTTACTATTATACTTTGCAATATTTTTCTTACGTTCTTGTATCTCACATTTATGTAACTGAAAAAAACCAATAAACGCATTCAATTATCCAATTATTGGACACAACTTTATTGTATGTGAGTTATGGACGCAATCGATTACGTCTTAGTCTTGTGGTATTCACGACATAATGTATGAAAGGGTTAACGTCTTCGTTAACATCGATACGATAGACAGCAGGAATCGAATGTACCATGCTACCATAAGCTTGAGTAAAACATGAAGAGAATTTTCAAATTGCTAACAACTCACAGGCAAATCTGAAATATCACATAATTAAAATTGTGGTCTTTAAAATACAACAGAACATTTGTCGAAACATAGAATACCAAACATCTACAATTATATTAAAAAGTTAAGTATCATTCAAAGTATACACTTTATTATAGTGCTGACGGATTATAAAAGGAACGACTACTAACCCAAAAGACTAGAGTTCGGATCGCGTACTTGAATCAGTTAGACTTGAATCATGTATGGGACGGCATGGTCAAACGGGAAGCGTTCAGCTACTAACCTAAAGGTCTCAAGTTCGAATCTAGTGCTCAAATCTTTAGGACGTCCCTGAGTAAACCCAGCTCTGATGTGTGTGTACTATCCCCATGTGTAACTAGGTAATTTAAACATCAACTCTGTCGTCTCTGCCAAGTGTCTTGTGAAGATCTGTAAAATCAGATGTTAATGACTGACTACTAGATCTAATTCTTGTGCCATCGGTGTAGAATATCTGCAACATCAACTCACTGACCACTAGATCTAGTTCTTGTGTCATCTGTGTAGAATATCTGCAACGTCAACTCACTGACCACTAGATCTAGTTCTTGTGTCATCTGTGTAGAATATCTGCAACATCAACTCACTGACCACTAGATCTAGTTCTTGTGTCATCTGTGTAGAATATCTGCAACATCAACTCACTGACCACTAGATCTAGTTCTTGTGTCATCTGTGTAGAATATCTGCAACATCAACTCACTGACCACTAGATCTAGTTCTTGTGTCATCTGTGTAGAATATCTGTGTCACCAGTTTAGAGTAACTCGTTTCTTAAAACATTTTTGTCACGTATTAAATGAAGAACAAATCAATTTCTGTAAGCCACCTGATAAATGTTTTCCAAGAATGAAAAAAAAAATCGGTGAAGTTATTCAATAAATAGCCATTCACGTTTTTCTTTCTAGTTATTGAAATAGTAGGTGATTATTTATATTTAAAGATAATCATTCATTTTCTCCTTTTTAGTGCATTATTACATAAAAGCTTGTTATAAAAACGTTGAGTATGTATCTTAAAAAATACATAAAAATAACTATCCTAACAATGACGTAAAACTTTATCGGTTAATTACATAACAGATGTACACATGCATAGACATTTGTCGCTACATCTGTTTAACTAAAAGGTTATCAATGGTCCTCGACATAGTTAAAAAAATCATTAAAATTCCGTAAAAATCGATTCAAAATATTTGCATCAAATTTTGATAGTATGTACTGCTATAGCTGTTGGCTAGAGATGATTTGTAGTTATGTTTGATGAATAATCTTTCTTTATAATTAAGCATTTTTATCCCGAATTAATAATATATGGACAAATCAAATACAAACATAGACCAACTGTGGTCAAAGCCCCGATGATGACATAGTTCCTATGGTAAAGGCCCCTACGGTCAATGGTCAGAGTACCATACATACATACATATATATATATATATATATATATATATATATATATATATATATATATATAGGGCCTATATACATATAAATATATACATTGAAATATATTTTTTCCGCATTCTGAAATATAAGTTATGTGAGAGTAATATATGACTTATTTGCTACGTCCAAATAAAAAAGCAGAAAAATAAGTTATTTTAACAATAACGTTTTGGAATTATTAGTTTGAGAGAACACGTTATTTTGAAATTAAAATGCATTGTAATTTTGTTTTTAAACTCATTTCAATAGATACTTCTTGTCTAATTTGTTTCGTTGTGTGTAAAGAGTATATGCCACAAAGGTTTAATTTAAAGAATATGTTTTTTTTTAAATTTAAATCAAAGTCAAAACTAAATCTACTAAACGGAAAAACATTAGTCATCAATAGTGGTTAAGTAAGTTTTGAAACTAATTGAAACAATGAAACGCTACATTACACTTTCCGCATCTAGAGGTCAAGTAGATGAGTAGACACGACTTCATCGGTAGGCCTAGTGATTCATAGCACTACTTATATAGGCCTACCTAACGTGATGGTTTTAGTCAGTCTATTGAACTGAGTAGTACTTACTTTTTTCAACAAGAATTCACAACTGTTGTGGGTAAGGACTGTCTTTTGACGCTTCAGATTTAATTTAGTAGACACATTTAAACTTTCAAAAACTACTAGATCTAGATGCATTTTGATGATGAAGAGAAATAATTCAATATCGTGTTTATGCTTAATCTTACCAATAGAATATGAAACTCTAGTGTTCAAAGTTTTAAGTACTGTTTGATCTAGTGCTTAAATAAAACAGGGGACAGTTTTTAGTTCTCGTGAACAATGGTAGTGGGAAATTCTTACACTCTCAGAATTTTTTTAAAAAAAGCGTCGAGTCGGAAACAGTTCATTTTTACTTTTAAATACTTTTTTTTGTCGATTGGATAAAAAAAACATTGATTTTAAGGTGGTATTATAAACAGCAGAGTGCAGAAATAGAGAGAAATGAGATACAAAATGGTACAAATTACCCGCCGAGAGTTCCACTGATGAGAATAACGTTTATTAAGATAAAATGTTTGCACTAATGTTTTGCTTTGTATACAGGTATTGGTCTATGTGTAACCTCGCTGGATGCAATACATTTTACGAGCATTAGAATTTTCTTTTAACTATGCCCTAGATTGATTCAGTTGTTGCGAAATTAGTTTGACCGTAACTGTCTTTTGGCTGAAGTGAGTCACAAAATGCCGACCCCCCCCCTACCCTAAAATGACGTTACACATCAGCACTCAAAATTATAGATGGATTCCGTTTCAAACATCGATTCCCCCCCCCCCCCCCAAATAAAAAATAATAATTGACAAAACGTTGTCATGAATGAGTATTTATCAATTTCAATTAGAATGTATCAAAACAGTTGCCTAACAAGTGAAATAACAGCGAAAATTTCACGTTGGTGGCTTGATTTAATAAACTTCAAACTGTTAAAGAATCTTAACAAGCAACTATTTCAGTGTTATCAAATGTTCGGCAAGTTCTTAGACCGCGTAAATTGAAAAGCTAACACCTTACCATATCTGGTAATAGCCACAGACACGTTTTGTCGGGGACATTTTGTTAAGGGTCGTTTTGACGGTGCACCAGCTAAACGAATAGCCTCTTTCGATCCGAAGTTTTGGAAACCGCTAAAACAGACAAGCGTCAAATATAACACATTTTAACATATCATCCCCTGACACCATTGCATGTATTTTCTATTTTACAGCTAGTTCAACATTAGTTCAACTTGACGCTAAAGTATTCGGTGAAACCACTACTAATGTGGGCCCTCCCCTTGCAAGAAATTTTGAGAGAAAGTTTTCCTGTGTGAAGGTTCGTCGGCTGTAATTGAACTCTAATTGAACTTTAAACTGGACATAAATATAACGTTAACCTTCCTAACACGGTTAATAAGAACATAATGTCGATGGGGGTAGTACTTGTTGTGACATTGCTTTATATACAAGCACTATGTGATCCAGACATCCCTTCTAGACCAATGCCTGATAGACCTGTCAGCCTCGCTTTGTCCTCAGAGGAGACGTTGACCTGTCCAGCAGGACATTACATAGACGAAGTAACAAACTCGTGTAAGGCTTGTCCTAAGGGGACATTTAACGCGGCAATGAGGACCGAGAATTTGGGCTGTCATAGATGCCTGACGCCTGACTCATGGGTAAGTAGAGAGTGGTTTGGGTGATGGGGCATTAGTTCGTGAAGTGATAAGATGTTAGCTGACAGGGAGGGAGAGGGATGGTCAGAATGTGACGACACACTTTAGCATATTTACGATGTTATGATATAAACTGATTGCTAGATGTTTTAAAAAGAAATTCATAGTTGATAACAATAAAAATAGATCAATATATCTATATCTATTAAAGCAAAGTGGGTTGTTAATTTCTTTGTTTGTTTCTACACCTATTAGATCGGTTATTTGCATGACAGTAACAGGAAAATAGCCCTTGACAAAGTTTGCTGTTAACTCTCATTCTAAAGGGAAACTTAGAGTTTAACATTAATCGCATCCGATTAATTTCCCCCTGTCATTTACGGCAGGGCGATAGAGAGAGAGGGACTGCTAACCTTAAGTCTCGAGTTCGATTCCGGGTTCAAGTCAGTAGACCGTCCCCCTGAGTCCATCCAACTCACACATCGATTGGATACCTGCCATGTCTTGTGTACATACTGAAATCTTACATTTACCCCTCAAGTGTATGAGTAACACTACCATTCATTTTCTACCAGGAAGAAATAGTAGTCACACCATGCACCCCAGTGCGAGACGCACGCATTATGTGTATGGACGGTTACTATAGACAGGAGTTTGGTGAAAGGTTTAAGTGGATGTGTCGCATCTGCCGTTTGTGTGGCGTGGGCGACAACTTGGGCCTGGACTATGTAGGGAGACCGTGTGGGGGATACAACGACACGGTATGCTGTCGTCATAGGGACATGATGGTTGTAAACGACATGTGTGTAGAGAATCCATTATCACCAAGAACAACAACAAAAACAGCTGTGAGAAAAATATTTATTCGGGGAGAAGAAAAGTCTGGTAAAAATTTGTTTAACAGTACCGTGATGCTTTTCGGTACTTTCTTTAGAAATTTTAAAGAAAAATTATATATACATACATATATATATATATATATATATATACATATATATATATATACATATATATATATATATATATATATATATATATATATATATATATATATATATATATATATATATATATATATATATATATATATATATATATATATATATATATATATATATATATATATATATATA